CCTTGGGGTGAGGCAAACCTGTACTCATCACTGAAGGACTCCAGAGGCAAAGGGCTGTGGGGGCTCACTCATTGCTCCCCTCACCCTGCCCCTTTGCAGCCATTCAGGGGTCATGGGTGGAAGCTTCAGAGAGGGCTAGCCTGGTTCCTTTAGGGCCTCCCAGGCAGGAAGAACCTCTAGGAAGCAGAGGGCACTGCATCCAGCCCCTTTGAAAGGTAAGAGAGCAAGAGGTCCCGGGGGTGACCACTGTTGCCAACAACAAGTATATTCTCCAGAGCCAGCTCCAAGGAGTTAATTGATGTGTTTTCTTCTTTCTGAAAACTGGTAATTAGCCTTGCTCAGGCATAAATGTATGTTGTATGCAGGTGCTTCCTTCCTGAAAGCTTCCTATAAGCCTAGTGCATAATCTAGTCTCTCCCTTTTCTTACCTTTCAGCCGACAGCTCTGACAACTCTGATTTGGAAGATGACATCATCTTATCTCTGAATGAGTGAGGAGCCATCACCACATGGAAGCGATTCTTGGCAGGCGAGAAACAGTCAAATGAATTCAGAACACCTTCCCTTCCCTTTCTCCCAGGGCTGTCTGTCTTTTAAGGAATTGCATGCCCTGCATTCAGAGGATTATGGCTTTAGAGAATCTCATTGGACTCTGAGGGTCCTTCCAAAAACAATAACAACCACAAGAAAGACAACAGAGGTTAGGCCCTATTCTGCTTCCCCCTTCTCGTAGGATGGACATATCTTTCCTCAAGGGAAAAAAAAAAAACATGTCTCTGGGGTTATTTCACAATATATTTTCTTTGTATAATGTTCTTTACTTAAAGAACAAGAAGTAGTTTTTTATAAAACTTAAAAAAAAAAAAAACAGGCATTTATAACTGAGGGTATGAACTTATATCCACCAGGTCTCTTGTCCCTGCACTTCATTTTCTATGGAAGAAAATGATGTCTAAAGAACAATACAGAGGCATTTTTACATACGTATTTAAATGAAAAGGAAAATCGTGGTTTCTTAAATTGATAAGGATTAAGAATATTTTATTATAAATATAATATATGATTTTTTAACCTGTTTTGTTGCCTCATATGCTGTCAGGTCAATTTGTTTTTCTTCATGCCAGAGGTGGGGAGGAAGGCACTGCTTATTTGCTGAGTAAATGCCTAGCTTCGCCCACCTTCATGGTTTAGGGGCAGCAAGGTCGCTGTGGATATTGGTTTTGTGGAGTTGAGGGAACTTAGGATATAGGTTCACTCCCTCTATTTTTCTTTGTGATTCAGTTTTTCAAAATCTTTTTTTCTTCCCTTTCTCCCCAATGTGGAAATTACAAATCAAAGGCCTTTTTCTTTAATGTAAAGTGTATTTATTTAAAAAAAATACAAAATAAACTACAAGTCTGTCTTTGTTTGTTTATGGCCTTTCCCTATTCTCTTTTACCAAAGTGGGGTCTGTCCCTTTTGTTGCAGCTCTAGCCAGGCACTAGAGAAGACGCCTTCCAAGAGAGGCAGTCCAGGACGGTGGTGAGAACACGTTCTGCCCAAATAAAGCACTCTGGGGAGGAAAGCAGCTTAGTCACAGTGTCTAACCCTGGTCTGCAGCTCTCCCCCAGAGGGAGTATCTGTTTTTGTAAGAGTACCACACAGCGGGTGGAGGGAGGCGCTCAGGGCATTGTCCACTGTGGACCCATCTCTCTATCCCCAGGTTCTGAATCAAGAAGGCAGCTCCAGAGTACAGATTTGGTGGAGTCAGAAAGTTAGGGTTCCTAAGACGTTTTGAAGGAACGAGCTGGCAAAGCTAAGGAGTGAAAGCATTTTGGCTATACCTGAAGTTGAGTGACTGTCATTACTGTTTCCTGAAAGGGAGTGTAACAGCGGACTTGAGCAGTTCTTCAGTTTTGGCAGTTTAGGGGCAGCTGGGGCTTGGTCAGGCCGGGTTGGCAGACACTTCACAGGCCTCTAAAACTGGCCTGTGGTTAAAGTGCTACTGCTACAGGGAAAGTACCAGGTGCTCTTACCTTTTCGTTCACCCCACCCCTTCTCACCCCCTTTCCTTCCCATAATAAATAGGAGACCCTAGTCTTTCTTCCTTTGAGCTTGCCTAAGTAACAGCTTCTTGGTTTCTACTATATAGGCATTATAATAGCTAAAAAGACTTTTCTCCCCTTGCTGAGAGAAAAAGGGACAAATTTGGTTGTGCAGTAAACAGGTGAGACAAGACGGCTAAAACTCACTAGGGGCTGGTAAAGCCCTGCTGGGCTTCGGAGCACCATACAGTTTATCTCACACAATGAAGTGGACCTGTGTTACAGGTACCTCTTGGTCCTCTTAGAGAGCAGAGATCTCAGCTCTTAAGTTGCTTCATGCCTCGGCTTAAGTGGGTTGCTAACACCTACCCAGTGGAATAGTCTTGACTGCTGGTGCTGAATACATTAGAAGAAAACAGGTTAAAAGTCAAGAAGTAGTAAAAGCGCTATACTAGTCATTAGCTGAGCCACTGGTCTCCCTGAACTCTGCCAGGAGCTCTTGGGAGCACCCACAGGTCTCGGGGGGAAATGGGGACCTCCAATAGGAAAGCAGAAGTCTGGTTGACGGGACAACATACCCTTAGGGAAGAACACTAAGAGGCTAAGGAAACATGAGCCCTCTTTCTTATTCTACTAGGGCTCAAGATCTGAGTCACTTAGGCAGAAACATGTAGAACAACAGCAAACCACCAATGAGACAAATTTCGCCTTAGGTTGGTTTTTGCCTTTGATACCTCAGACAGGACCTAAAATGCAAGTTGGAGGCACTGGACACCTAGTTAAATAGTTTTCTCTCTGAGGGCAGTCTCATAAATTAACCGGGGCCTTGACCACCTGACCTACCCTCACTAGTGCTCGCCAAGGCCTTTCTGAGAGAAGGTCACAGAACTTGCTGTGTCTTAAGAGCCAAAGGAAGGAAGTGGTTGAGAAGAGGGTTCAAGGAAGAGGAGGAGGAAGGCCACTCAGTGGTCTGTGGTTCTTCACCAAAACTCTGTAGCTCTTCTTAGGGCCAGAGAGCACCTATCCCTGAAGAAGGGTGGACAAGGCAAGGGTTGAATTGTCTTCTCCAACCAGATTTTCTAGCAGGTTTCTGTCTGGGATAGCTAGGAGGCATGTTATTCTGAGCACCCACTCTATGAAGAAACAGCCCAGGGGAGTTTTGGACTTCACACGGCAAGGCAGCTCTGGCCTGTGACCTAGGCATTTGTTGAACATTTGCAGGAAACCCTGCAACAACGTGCCTTCAAGCCACCCTACCTCGTTTGCTCTAAATAAGAGGAGGCCCACTCCTGCTTCTGGCAGTACCAGCTGCCTCCTGTCCCCCCCCACCCCAACGAACCTGCTTAGATACCTGGCGGTCGTGGCCACAGTTCAGGTACAAACAGACAAACACATTTAACACTTCCTTGTGTTGATGTTTCTGTTACAAACATCTTGTTTCTCTCATGAGCGCCAGCTGAAGCCCAGTGAGCAGGACGTCCCCAGGCACCTTCTGTTCATTTTAAATCTCCAAGGTCTCGAAAAGACACTCTTCACTGTCCTGTGGAGAAGTGTATATTCTCCATGTAGTCTGCAGTGAGCCCAGCCTCCACCTCATGAATTCTCTCTCTCAAAACATCCAGCTGTCACGTGCACAGCAGCCTGATGCCAGTTGGGCTAGTGGACCAGACCTGGAGAGAGGATGGCATGGCCAACAGAACTTGGAGTTCTTGGTCATTTGGGGGCTCATTTCTCTCACTGAAGCTTCTGTTCTCCCTCAGCCCTGAAATCCTTTTAGAACATCCAGCTGCCACACAAACACCTTGAAGAAAGGTGTTTGGGCTGTGTTCTATGGTGACAATTGCTGTATGACTCTGGTTTCCCTCCCTGGTCCCTGACACTGCTGGCTTTATTTGCCAATGCTGGCCATACTACCTTATTAGAGACAAGTGTGGACAGAATTTAAGGCCCCTTCAAGCCATCCTTCTCTCCCAGGTTGAGGATGCTTCCACATTTCCTCCCCTGCGTGGCTTCAACAGTTTACAGCTCTAGCACTACCCAACACCTTAGTGAGTGTGACCTCGCTTGCCCTCAGAAGCACCTACATCACAGTGGTCTCCACCTCCTCAGTATCAGGGCAAGAGGCCTAGGCACATGTTTTCACCCTGCACCTGGGAAATAGTCATGTCAGTTAAAAAGAACATCTTCCTAACCCGCTGCACTCCCATGCAGCATTGCAAAAATTCTTCAGTCCTGGGATTCAGTGTTCCCCACAAAGCTCTAGCGACTGGGCACTAGCCCACTCCATTGACACATCAGCCCCGACCAACCAAAGGCAGAGCCAGAATTCACAAACACCAGGCAAAGTTCAAGAATTAACCAAGGAAAGCTGTCTCCCGCCCTCCATTCCAGGATTTGGCCTCCAGTGTCCCCGGGAGCCTGAGGCAGCTCTGGCTCCAACTGAGTATCCCAGAGCCGCTGCATTAAGGCTAGAAGGGAGGCAGAATGAGAGAGGGAGCCCACACGGATCCGTGGCACCAAGACCCCTGGCACTAATATTGCACTGCTCCTCCCATGACTACAAGACCACACAACTGCTAGGCTTCCTGCTTTCAAAAAGGCCTTAATATTGGGTGCTTTGTCCAGTATCTACAGCTCAAACTGATGGACACACAAGTTGTTTGGGGCAGGATGACAAACCAAAAAGTACCACAGCTGCTGGCTACAGACCTTAGCCTCACCCCTTTCCTTTGCATGGGCTCTGCTCGGGGTGGTATGGCAGGATCCAGAGCCCAAATTGAAGCCTACTTGCTTTCAAGATGAACAACAAATGTGAACACAGTTCTGACTTAGCCCAGGAAGCTGAGGGGCTGAGAGCCATCAGTGGAGCAGGACTCTGAGATATACCAGTGCTGGAAAGGTGACATACAGCATTTTTGTACATGCAGGGGGGAAACGCTTCCATTGAGGAAAAACTTGATTAAACCAGGACTCTGAACAGGATTAAAAATCCATCCTCTGACAAAGGCTTTACTGACAACTTTCCATACAATTAGTCAAAAAATAAAAAAATACAGAACACAGCAGACAGTATCTTGTACACTAGAAATCAACATGACAGGATTCCCTTCTCATCGCTGTAAAAAAAAACACCCCCAAACCTAAGACCTTAGTTTTGGTGGGGAACAGGACTTTGGTCACCCACCAAATGAACCAAAATAACCCAGCAGAGAATTCAAACCAAGGGGATAGGATGGGGGCAGGGGGGAAGATCAGATTTTAAAATAACTGCTTTTGTGACACAAACATGGAGCTGGAAAAGACAGGTTTGGGCTAGGCAGTGTCTCTTACTATCACTATCACCATGTGTTCTTCTTCTAGCTTGCCCAATGTCCTTAGTGCTGACTGGAGGTACTGCTGTGAAAAGTCACAGGGCGGGAAGGCATAGAGCATGCCTGTGCTGTCTCTGCCCTTGGACCCCCCCACTGGCAGGCTGATCACCCCTGCTGCCTGCTTCTGTTTCAAGTAGGAGACTAGGTTCCTGAGAAGCCGCCTCTGTAGGCCTGGCTCCACCGAGGGCATCCCCTCAGTGCTAGGCCCACTGGGAGTTGCCTGGGTGGCTAGGAGCACCGCATAGCCATTCGGGCTCCCCTGCTTGATGCGCCGTGTGACCTCGTCGAGCTTGGGTTGGTCCAGTCGAAGGCGCTGGGCAATCTTCAGCTGGGTCAGCTTACTCCCAGAAGTGTGGTCTTTGAGGAGACCGCTGATAACCCCCTGATCCCCCTCTAGGATGTGCATAGATGTTGGGAAGCAGCTGTTTTTCAACACTAGAAGCCCATTCCAACCCAGCTGCAGTGTCTGGGCATACTCCGAAAGATTCTTGAGCTTTTTGGTCTCGTGTTTTGGCTCTTCAAGAGCCTTGGGCTCAGCCTCAGTGGTCCGATGATTGCGCTCGCTCTCTCGTGTCTTCTTCCCGTGGGAAGAATCTGGAACTTCATGGTGGTGGTGGTGGCTCCGCTCCTCAGCAACATGTCTGCTGTTGCTGAGGGAGTTGCTGCTCAACTCCTTGGTCCCTTCACTGGAGTGGTTTTCCTTGCGGCTGCGCTCAGGGGTGCGGTCAGAGCCTCGGTCTGCCTGCTGCCCACCACCCTTGGTCCTGGTCCGTTCCTCGTAAGGGGAGTGGGTTGTCCTCCCGCGGTCACTGGAAAGGCTCCTCCGCTTCCGCCTCTCCTCCCAGGGCTTGGGTAAGGCCCGGTCCCCATCTCCTCCCCAGCGCTCACCACTCCGGCTGCGCACTGAGCGGCTGTAGCCCTCCAGGCTGTTTCGGCGGTCAGAGCTTTTACTGGGGCTGGTCCAGTCCCCTTCCAAAAAGGTCCGGTCTCGGTCTGAGTACAAGAGGTGTGGGGGGGTCCTATCCCGCACCCGCAAGTCCGCATCCAGGTTTCGGTGCCGGGTATATCCATCTGGGAGAAGCTCGTAATGCACAGGAAGGGGTGAGGGCTGGTACTGCTGGGGATACCGAGTCTCCTCTGCTTTGGCAAAATCCACGCGCAGTCTGCGGTCTGGACCACCCAAGGGAAAGCCCCTCATTTTAGCACAAGCAGCCTGGGCTGCGTCCAAGCTCTCATACTGGATGTAGGCAAAACTATCTCCTTTGACATGATCAATGGTCCGAATGCTCCCAAAGCGATCAAACTCCCGGGCCAGAGCCGCCAATGAGGTGTTAGGTCCCAGGCCACCCACCCAGAGGCGAGTGGTGGGGTTGGCCTTGCCATAACCTATTTTAATGGGGTTGCGGCCAATCACCCGGCCCGACATGGCCACCTTGGCCCTGTGGGCCATGTCCAGGTTCTGGAACTTGAGGAAGGCATATGCCCCGCCCTGGCCACGGGCAGGTCTCTTGATGACCACCTCCTCAATGATGCCGTACTTCTCGAAGGCCCGTCGCAGCTCCACCTCAGACACACTATGATCCAAGTTCCCGATAAAGAGGTTGCGCGTGGCCCGCTGGTCGTCCTCAGGCATCAGGTCCTCCTCACACACGGCGGGGTAGCCGTAGGGACGCCCGCGGTCGTCGTACAGCCCGTAGTAGTCCAGGGCCCGCTCCCGAGATAGTCCTACGGCGGCGGCGGCAGCGGCGGCATCGAGGGCAAAGGCTGCAGCGGCGTGGCGGGCGCGGGGCTCCCGCAGTGGCGGGGCGGCCACAGGGGACAGCGAGCGCTGCTTGTACTGGTAGCCGCCGTGCAGCGGCAGGTAGCCCAGCGGGTCGGTGGGTGCGGGTGGCCCGGGGGGCGGCGTGGAGGCGGCGGCGCTGCTGCTGCTGCTTCGCCGGCTGCTCCCGCCGCCGCCGCCGCCGCCGCCACGCAGGTACACGGGCTCCACCTTGAGCGGGCGGTCGTAGAGCAGCAGCTGGCGGGCTAGAGCGTGCTGGCGGGCCTCGCGCGCGTCCTGCGGGTGCCGGAAGTTCACGTAGGCCACGCGGCCCAGCTCAGGCGTGTGCGACAGGCGCAGGCTGATCTCTCCGAAGCGCTTGAACTGATGGAAAAGCCGGTCCTCGAGGTGCTCGGCGGGCAGCGCAGGGCTCAGGCTGCTGATGAGCAGCGTCTTGTACTCGGGCGCGGCCGCTGACGAACCGGGACCCGCGGGCTCGGCCCCGGGCGGCGGCGGCGGTGGCGGCAGAGGAGATGCGCGGGGCGAAGCACCTGAGGCGCCCGGGTCCCCCGAGGCCTTGCCGCCGCGTCCCCCGCCGCCAGCGCCCGAGCCCGAGGAGCGGCCGCTGCTCACACGGTGATTCGCGTCCCCGGCGCCGCGGCCGTCGCGATGCCCACCCCCGCCGCCCCCGGTACCGCGGGGTTTGTCGCGGGTCCGCGTTGGAACGGGGTGCTTGGCGCCGCCCGAGGCCTTGTGCGCCGCCCGCCGCCCGCCCGCCTCCGCCTCCCGTTCGCGCTCTCGCGGCCGCTTGGCCGACGATGACGAGCCGCGCCCGCTCGGGCTCGAGTCTCGCTCGCTCTGCCTCTTCATGGCGCCGGCGCGGCGGGCGGGCGGGCGGCCCGCAGGCCCCTCACAGCGGCGGCGGCGGCGGCTGAAGAGGCAGCGCCCCCGGCGCCGCCATCTTGGACAAAAGGACTCGGCGCGGTAGCGGCGGGGCGGGGCGGGAGCAGCGACCAGGGGCAGGGCGTCGCGTTATCTAGCTGCGCCGGCCGCGCCACGTGACCCCGCGGCAGACGGGGCGAGAAGGGCGCTGCGCGTACGTCATCGAACTGCGCCGCCCCGCGCCACGTGACCCCACAGCAGGCGGGCAAGCGCGGCCCAGCGGTGAGCTCTGGCGCCACCGCGCGGCCTCAGCTACGCGGAGAGATCGGAGCCCTCTAGAGATGCGGGCTGGCTCGCACCGTCCATGACTCTAGCAGGCTGGGCGGGACCTAGGCCTGCCACTCCTGGCAGGGATCCACGCTGATGGAGCAGGAATAGCAGGGAGTGTCCTTGGGTGCCCCGGTCCCGGGCCTTGACCCAGCGGCCTCTTTACGTGGTATCCCCCCAATTCCAGGACTAGGCTTGGGTGACTCCCATCCTTCGGCCAGGGCACCTCCTGACCGGAGTCTGGGGTTGACAATCCGGAGCACAGAAGCACACCGCTCCCTAGGCCCCGTCCGGGCATCCTCTGGTTCAGGTTCATTTGCAGCAGTCCCCTGAAAGGCCATGAGGACCATGACTACGCATGCACAAGACAAGACCCGTCCAGGCCCAAGCAGAGAAACCTGAGACAACAAATCTGCAGTTTATGGATGGGAATAGGCTCCTTGGCCCCACGGGGCCCCACTCTCTGCTATGGGCATCCAAGCAGACAGCGGGCTGTTAAGGGCAGGGCCACGGAGCCAAGGACGAACAGAAAGCCAAACCCAGCAGTTCCCACAGCTTGACACACTTACCTTTCGGTGCCCGGTGCCCTCTTATCCACCTCCAGAGGCAGCACCTCTTCTTCGGAAGTGAGGTGAAGTGGGGCGAGGGGGAATCCTGCCCAGGTTCCCAGGCCCCTTGGGGAAGCTTGCTTTCTTCAGGGAGAGTTGCTAGAGCATCGCAGAACTTGACCCAGCGTCAGCCACAGAAACCGTGGGATGGGGAAAAGCGCACCATAGCTCTTCCCTCCTCCCACAAGCAGAAAGCAGCTCCTGAAGCAACTAAGGCAGGTGCAAGGGGAGAGGTCTTAGAAAATACACCAGTAACATTGCACGACCTCTTGAAATCTGTTTCCAGAAATAAGGGAGTTAACCTCTCCGTAGATAACCTTGGGAGTCAGCCCTAGAGCAGTAGTAGTTGGGCTGTTTTCCCTGTTCCCCTGTTCCGCGTGGGCTGGAGGACATGGGCGCCATGGGAACATAGACTAGGGTGGTAAGCTGAGACAGCTCCATCTCCTAAGACTTCCGGCTCCAGCCATGGATTTTCCCAGCACCTTTCAGTTTAGGACACTGTACTTGTCAGATCTTAACAGCCCGTCCAATTCCCCCAAATGGGAAAGTCTTGGCCTGCGAAGTGGTTCAACCTTCTTGCTTTCCTCAGAAGTAGCGCTGCAGAGGTGCAAAATGTGGGACTGCTGCCGCCAAGCATTACCAGACTCCACAGTGGGCTGTGCGGTCCCTTCCATAGGCACTGAATTTAGGAACTGCACAAATGATGTGATCTGAGGTCAGAGCAATTCCTCGGAAAGCACTGCTTCTTAGTCCTTCCTTTCAGGTGGTGTCTGCAGGCCCAAGGAGCAGAGGTGTCTCCATCAAGCCGCAGCTCACGCTGACAACTGGGTTTCCCAAGCACCAACCCCACAGAGAGCAACTAACAACCAGACTCTGGGGACAAACCCTCAGGACCTCAACTGTTAGACTTACCTTGGGTAAAAAAGGCAAAAGGCAGCCTCTCACTGGCTCTTTGTGCAAACCGACTCCTGCCAGTCTTGGAAAACCCCAATTAGGCATCAGAGGCTTGAGACTAACACTAGACCACAAACTCAGATGAGTGAGTAGGTGGCCAGATTTGGACAGTGTTTGGTGGAGGTAGCCAGGCCAAGCATCTTTAGAAATATGACAGCACTCAACATACAGTTATTGAAGTCATCATCCCAGAAAACCACAGTCAACACGCCCTGTGCTGCTGGTACCGAGCCCCGAGGTAAGCCCCTCCCTTGTACATCAGACTCAATCTCCTGCGCTTAGCAAGAAGCTGTGCAGCCTCCAGTCCCTCCTGTGGGTGAGACAGTCACTGCAGGGTTGGGTATCAAGCCCAGCCTTCTCCCAGGCTCCCCCGAGTCCTGCACAACCCCACAGGCCTCAGCCCCTGGTCCAGCCCTGGTATCTTCAGCACTGGCAGTTGAGGGACAAATGTGAATATACCTGAAAACTCTTTGTAAACTGCGACGCATAAACCGGTGGGATCTTCATCAGAGGTAAAACCCTGTTTGAGTATTCACTTTAATTCTCCAAGGACAGCTAGAAATTTTCTTCCTTTAATAAAAAAATCCCAGACACACTTTGAAGTCCTAGAGTAAACCAGCAACAGAACGAAGTGAATCCCCCCACGGGGGCGCTGTGGAGCCAGCATCATCAGGAAAGCTCCAGGCTTCACACCTGACATTGTCAGGAGCCGGCCTAAAAAATAAATTACAAAAAGGCTGTTTGGGGAAGACCCAGATGAACTGTTTTTTCCCTCAGGTGCAGCAGGGGTCAGGCAGACTACAAATCAGTCCGGGAACTGGCTGCCTTAGGGGCGTATTTAGGCATCAGTTCATTAATCTTCCGGATGTAGTCAGACTTCTCTGCACAGCCTTTGCACGTCTCCCCCCAGTCATCCAGGATCTTCTTTAGCTCTTTAACTCGGAGCTTCTTCAGGTCCACTGTGCTCAGGTCGATCTGCTTGTCTGGAGGAGAGAAAAGGGAGAGCAAAGAGCTGGGTGGGAGCGGCCATGGACCCCCAACAGTCCCAGGTTGGATCACCCCTGCACAGCCACATCACCCCTTAAAACAAGCAGCCCTAGTGGTCGTACGGGGGGAGAGACACATCCAGACACACCTAGGTGTGTTAGTGTCCACTGCCCCCAATACGGGGAACTGGCCCAGGAACCTTCACCAGGGGGGTGGGTCTCATGCTGGCGGTGTCCACCAGAGATACGCAGTGTCGACAGGGATGAAGGCCGCAAGGAACCTTACAAGAGGAATGTAGCTCCTACTCCCTCAAGTGCCTCTTAAAATAGTCACAGTAGAGGTCAAGTGACTGTAGAATGACAACTCCAGGGTGACACAGCAGACAGACCCCTAGCCCCAATTTCCCAACACAGGTCCTGGTCAGGCCCTTGAGCCAGGAGCTTACTCTCCATAACCAGTTGTGACTAGAGAGACCTCGAGCCAACTGTACCTGTCCCAGGATCACTCTCAGAAGCCCGGGCATCCTTGACACAAGTGGGGGAGCGCAGGCTCCTGGACACTCAAGTCACAATAAAATATGTTGGTGCTGTTTACATTTTACAGAAGAGGACAACTATTTCTGGCCCTGACTCCTTCTGAAGACCTGGACTATTTTTTCCACTAGAGACCTATTCAGCCAGAGAGATGCTGCAGTGCCCAAAACTCTCAAGCTTGCCTGTCTGGACACAGCATTTCTTTTCAAAATAATAAAGATTGCTGGGCCTTGAGAGCTTGCAGCCAGGACAAGAGTGTTAAACCCAAGTCAGACCACATCCATTCTCTGCTCAAAAACTAACGTTCCCAACTTCACTCAGACTAAAAGCCAAATCTTCACCAATCTGCAAGGCCCTCTGTGACCTGCCTGCCCAGCTGTCACGCCCCTGGCTGCCTTTGCACTGCCTACTTCCTCTGCCTGGAATGCTTTTCCATTAAATGTCCTCTTGGCTAATCTCCTTCCTCCTTCAAAGTTTGAGGCCTATTTTGACCTCTACCCACCATGGTGCCAGATCTGTGCTCCGGCTCCCCCTCCTGCCCCTTTTTAGCACTATCTACCCTGCTATATAACTCACTCCTGACGGCTTTAGTTTATCCCCTGCCTCTCTCAGCTGGAAAGTAAATGCCATAATGCCTGAGCACAGAGGGGGCACAATGTGTGTTAAATAAGGCCTGGCCACACGCACCATACTTTAGCTCACAGATCTGGCTGTCCTTCTTCTTGAGCTTCTCACAGATCTTCTCCACAGGGATGTGGTGGGCCAGGGGCTTTGACACCTCATTGATGATCTTGGTGGCTGCATCATCTGTGGCCCCAATGTAGTAGCACTGCAGCAAGAAAGGACAGTGGCTTCAGGAGGTTCCACTCGCGAGCCATCTCCTCCCAAACATACTGACATCTCAAAACATCTTCCTTCTCTGCCAGGGCCTCGTTTTTCCATGCCCTGCCTGTACTGGCCATCAGATTCAATCAGTGTAAACCCTGGGCTCTTAATACATGCTTAGTCCCAGAGCTGACAGCTACAAGATGAGTTTGAGAGTCACCAGGGTTCAAACCTTTAAACAGAGACAGACAAACCAGAGACTGCCAGGAAATTAAAGCTACAAAAGCCACCATTTCATTAGGGTTCTTGTCCGCAGTTGAGCCCTGGACTGCTCTGTGCACACTTATCTTCGTCTGTCCTCACACATGCCAAACTCATTCTGGCCCTGGGCACTCACACCGGCTGTTCCCTCTGCCTGGGACTCTTTCCCCACCACAATGATGGCCCTTCCTCAGAGAAATTCTTGACTACTCTGTCTAAATCAGCACCTGCCCTCTCTACCATACCATCTGGGTCCATTTTTTCGTGTCACCCATCCCACTGCATCTTTTGTCTGTCCGACTGTCATTTCTCTCTCCTAATACTCCCAGTGCCCAGCACACAGTATGTGCTTAATCAATACTAACAGAATGAAAGACATCACAACTGCAGAATATATGAAAGCACTTTAGTCCCACATTAGTTCACTGACAGACAGCTGGCCTCCTGAATAGACAAGAGGGCAGTACTTTTTATACAGGGACCAAGGCCAGCTGGGGAGGGTCACCAGCTACTCACCAACCGATTCTCTTTGCCTCTTGCTTCACGGCAGAACTTTGTAAGTTCTTTTTCAACAGAAGCTGGTGAGAATGTGACATCTCTGTTTTTGAGGTCCTGGTAAAACCTTCCCAGGTAGGAAATACACACTGGAAAAGAAAGGGAAGGAAGATGCTCAGCAATCACCAAGTTGCACCCCAATCCACCAGGAGGGAACTCCGTCAGCAAATATAATAGGAGACACAGAGAGAGGTGAGTTTTTCCATCACCGGTTTTTCTCAGGTGCCCAGAGGTGGACAGAACCTAGCTCCAGGTTGCTGCGGTTCCCTGGTACACCCAGGGCATGCGGGGAACGAGCATCACCCAATGACCCACAAACCCCTCCCTGCTCCTTCCATAAAGTTTCAGCCAAGACTGAACACGTGTCCTTGAGATGGACTCACTGTGACCTCATAAAGAGACAAACTGGAGGCCAAAGAGAAAAACGATCCAAATGCTGCCCATTTCCAAATATAACATCGAACCCCGACGTGCGGCTTCGCAACCCGACCAGACCCGTAGCGGTGCCCACGGCCGGCCCTCAGGATTGCCGACCCGGGCCAGGGCCGCTCCCGAGAGCCTCTGCCCAGTGATGGGAAGGGACAAAAACTCCGGCGTTATCTCAATTTCCGGCCAAGTTTTCAGCATCACCTAGTCCCGACTTTTCCTCGTCGGACCAATGTTTTCTAGGCCCAGGAAACGTCTTCTGGGCCCGGCCTCTGGCCCTCATCGGACGGACCCCGCGGGGGACAGCCGCCGCCCCCGCCCGCTCCAGCCCCGGCCTCTCGGCCGCTCCGGGCTTGGTTGGGCTCAGCGCCGCCGCCACGCCAACCACAGCGCGCGGACCCCGGCCCCACCGCACCTTCGCAGTCGCCGGGTCGCAGCGACCGACTGCCCGGCAGCACGCTCAACGCCACCGCCACCGCCAGCCCGTGCGTGGCCCACATCCTCCACCGCCGCCGCCGCCGCCCGACTGAACCGCGCCCGCCGCGCTGCGTTGCCTCCAGGCCCCGGCCGCGCGCCGTAGCGCCCCATTGGCGGGAGAGCCCCGCACCCTCCCACACGCCGCACCCTCATTGGTCCACGCGCCCCAGAGCCCAGACGGCCGGCTCCACGCTGCCCTCCCCCATTGGCTGGTGGCGTCACCGCCCCGGGCCCTAGACAGTTGTCGGCCGCGGATTGAACCAGGGCCGGCCGCAGGAAGCGGCAGCTGAGGCGGCGGAAGCGGTAAGGCCCGCCATCTTGGGTAGGGGCAGCAGCTTTGGCCGTGGCCGGGCGCCGCGGGCTGGAGTGGTATTGCGACGCTGCCCGCGCATGTTGAATTGTCCCGCGTGTCCGCCGTTGCGGGCCCCACACCTGTCCGCAAAACCCCGCCCAGGGCCCCGCCCCGGAAGGGTGAGGGGTGCTGGGGCCAGCCGCGACCCAACAGGGCCGGCAGGGTGGGCGGCCGGCCGCAGGCAAAGCTCCGGAGAGGTTTCTCTCCTTTTTCTTTTTTTAAACGATTACGTGGGCGGGGGGAACCAGCCCTGGAGGAGCGTCTGCGAGGCTTGCTGACCCGGCCCGGACTTTCCCATCAGCTCAGGCGCCCACCCGCTTGAACCCCGGCTGACAGGAGCTCGTCTGGCACGGGAGGAGACCTGCAGGCTCTGGGCTGGAGGACCTCCCACCGGAAGGGCTCACGTCCGTGCTGCCCTCCTAGACCCAGGGAAGCGCCCGGGCTAGGTGCCGTGGCTGTGGGATCAGAGCCGTCCCGCCTCGCAGTGGGGAGGTAAGGGGGTTTAGGTTTTTCCCCTACTCTTGGAAGAGTCCCACATTTCCTCACAAGCTCCGGAAGCCTCGCCGAGTTGGCTGGCCCGCCGCCTCCTGCCTCCCAGCTGAGCGCTCGGGGCCTTTGGCTGCCTTCCTTTCAAGTGCAAGGCTTAGCTTCCTGTCCCGGAAGGTAGAACGTGGGAAAGGCTGGCTGGGCTCAGTGTAGAAAAGATTTCTATGGGGCTAAAAGGGCTTGGAGCCCAGCGACCAGGGTTGGAGAGGGGCACCTGTGCTGTTCCCATTCAGTGAATTCAGTGGATCAGTGTCAAGTATTCATCTTTAATTCACATCACAGCAGTCAAAGGAGTGGGGAAAGTGGGAAAAATCAAGTGGCAGATATTTACATCTAAAATTCACATTATTTGTTGGATTTAGAACATGCTAGCACAATATATACAGTAAAATACCTCTTGGGACACTAGTACAAATTTTTTTAACTTTGCTTTCTGGTACAGGTAAGATCATTTTTAAATCACTTTTTTTTAAAACATAAATACACAAAAGAAATGGTTAGAAGTTTTCTTATTTTAAATAAGCACAGAATGCCAGAGGTTAAAAACACATTTATAGGGCTGAATACCAATTGGACATCACACTCTATACATTTTTTGCTCAAATTCCTGTACAAATACACAGCATTCAAATAGGTATTTACAAATAAGCTTGAAAGAATGAAAATCAGTATTTCACCATCTTTTCAGAGGACTCTTATCTCTGGCCTCCCACTTCCCCTCAGACTGGCTGATTCTCCAACAAAAGGGATTTGGAGGATGTCTTTTTCATCTAGGTAGGGAAAATGAACCTGGCTCACCTTGCTTAAAGCAAGGCCAGAGGAACCTACACTCCCCTCCCTACCCTCCAGAGCCACCAGGTGGAGAAGGGAGATGTTCTTATGTGATGACTGCCTTGTCCAGGGCTTGAGGTTCAGAAGTGCCCTAAAATCTAAATGTGCCCTTCTACCTAACAATCAAATCCAAAGCTAGCCCCAGACCCTCTGACACTTGTGAATACCAGATAGTCCAGGCCTGTCCTCCGAGGCTGGTGCTGCCAAGACTGATCCACTCTGCCTGGAGTCAACATTACAGTATAGAAATGACCCCCAAATACTAGTGATAAATGCCCCCAGATGCCCTGAAAGTAATGTGGTCCTCCATCTTCCCTAATTGGTCACTTGCTGGCATTCCTGTTAAACAAGCTGGCATTTCTTTTCAAGAGAAAAACACCTTGACCATGGCCTTGTCTGTTTGGAAAGGGGGGTGTGGGAAAGGGCTGGGGGATCAGGTCCCAGGGCCTGGCCGTGGAGCTCAGACAGGCCAGCAGAAGAGGAACTAGGGGAGAACATACCAGCTCAACAAGGAGAAGCCAGTCTTGTGACCATCAAAATTATGAACTCACGCAAATGGAAGAAAAAAATATTTTGTAGACTTTTTTTAAAGTAACCTAGAAGCACCCTGGTAAAAGACCATTACTACCCCACTCTGTTCTCCCAAATAATAAACCAAGAGGAAAATCAGTGCCCTGATCTGAAAAAGTTTCCTATAAAGACACCACTGCGCTCTGCCCAACAGACTGGGGAAGCTGGAGAAACTGCCCTCCTGCCTGCCCTGAACCCTGAGTGGTGGTCCCACAGGCCTGGAGAGGGGCCTCTGCACTTGGCCACTTGGAAAGGATAATTCAACTGGTGTGGCTCTCTGCTTCCAAAAGGAGAAACTCCTTACTCTCTTTACCCAGGAGCTTGCTGACCCTGACCACAAGTCCTCAGGGCTTGGTAGCCTGGCTGGGCAGCCAACCCCACTGCTCGGAGGTAGTGCTGAAAATCCCTGATTCAGGAGCTGCATGACAGGCATTCTGGCCACTTCTGAAAGCTCAGAGGATTTCTGGCCCCTGCCACACCCCAGCCTCACTCCTATACCAGCTCATCTCTCAACACATAGCCTCCTGGGCCCTGGGGAAAAGGTGGTTAAGGTAGTCCCTCTGGCTCTACACCCTCACTCAAACCCCACAGGATGGGAGATAACCTTTGCAGATCCATTTGCCAAGGAGGCTCCTGCAGGACGTGAGGTGTATTGAGAGTGGGGGAGCAAATGGTCAGAAATAAAAGTGATGGAGGGAAAAATCCAAGGTAGAGTAGGAGGCAGGGCTGGCCCATGGAAGCCTGGCAGTGTGCCCTGGGCGTGCAGCTAGGCCAGGTCACATGCTTGAGCTGGCAGGTTGGCCCAGCCATCCCCTCAGTTGCACACACCTGGATGGAAGAGTGGGCAGGTGGGCATTTGTGCAAAAAGGCTCGTAGTCCCCTTGTCCACCTGTGACATGTAGTCCACATGGGCCTTGCAATCCCTGAATACAACCATGAGCTCTTGTCCACATAGCAAAGGAAGAGGTCCCTAGTGCAATTTCCATTCTTCTGTGCATCTCTACCCTGGAGGCAGGGCTTGGGCTCCTACCCCCAGGCCCTGCAGAGCTGCAAAGCAATTCTGTCTGTGCAATATCTCCATATAGCTCCACGTGGTCTGGAACTGCAGGAGGAAGAAAGCATCTACTGCACGAAAGAAAGAAAACTCATAGAAATAGGTAGAAAATGAAATAAAAAGAAGCCACAACCCTTCATGCTGCTGAGGCCTCTGGACACGGCAACACATGAGTTCACGGCAGTAGAACGTAGACTCGGGGTGGTTCTCTCCTGAGTGCCAGGCCTCTTCTGGCTCCCTGGGGGGGGACTTGGATTTCAGACCTGGAGTAGTTGGGCAAGCTGCTCACCGAGGGCGGCATCCCAGCCGCCTCTCTGCCCCTCACTGTTCTCCTCGGCCATGTTCCCAGGCCATGCGGGCCTGCTCTTCCTTGACGCTCCCAGGAGGCAGTGAGGCCTTGCGGTGCAGGCCCCGAGGCCTCTCGGCCTCTTCCCGCAGCAGCACACCCTCGTCGTGCTCCAGGGCCGGCAGGCGGGGATGGTAGGGCTTGGGTGGCAGCGCAGGTGGGTCCATAGGGTCCTGAGGGATGACGCATCCTGGGGCTGAGTGGCTTCGACACGGCTGGGCCTTGATGGAGTCAAGGACGGCAGACTCAGAGAGGCTGTAGTGGACAGGGAGGTAGGGTGGCTCAAGATCTTCATCAGCGTTCCAGGCCTGGCTTGGCATGGAGTCCATGGTGTCGGTGCGAGGTGGGGCCTCCGAGGAATGCCCAAAGTTACTCTCGCTCAGGGAGGACACACCACTGCTAGCACTGCCGGACAGTGTAGAGTTACTGCCGTCCAGGCCCGACTGGGGGCTCGTGGGGGAGGCTGGGATAGGATGGAGGGGAGACTGCAAAAGAAAGGGTAGGCATGTTAGAATCTTTCTCTCCAGATAGGCTGACTGGCCCACCATGCAAAGAGAAGACCAGGATTCTGCTTATTAATGAACTTTAACTCTCATCAACCGCATGGTTCTTGTTTATTCAGCAGCAGCCCCTTACCTTCCTGCGGTCCCCAGCAAGCCAGTGGAGCCCCAGAATCACCTGCATTTCTATGGGCCAATAAATGGCCCTGCCCTGGCTGCTGGGCATTTATGCCCCCTGGAACCAGGTCCCAGGCTGTTGGATGTGGCTCTAGGGTACTGACAGAAGGGCTGGGTCGTCAGGCCAGAAAGTACGCTAGTGGGCCATGGGCCAGATGAGTGCATTTTGCTGCTAAAATCTGTGATAGAGTCAGTCTTTTCCAATTTGCAGAAGAATTAATAAGTTTTTCATTATTTAAGCTTTGGTGCCTGATACTTCGTACTTGACTGGACTCTAGTTTAAAATGCTCTATACTGGACCACAGGACTGTATCTTTACCTCTTGAACTGTGGTGTGTTGATACCTCATGGCGTTGGCAGAGTCCCCCGGCTTCCCACTGCTTATTGCCTACACACTCCAGGTGCTGTGTGTTGTTGTCTCCAGGACCCTCTGACCTCCCTGTCCCCATTGCATTTGTTGCAGGACACATTGGTCATCTGCATCCCAAGTGAGGTTCTGGCCACCCCCAGCTTCTGCTTGGCTTGGCTCTCAGGGACAGAGGAACAGGGGAGGGCTCAGGTTCTTTCTGTAGACCCCAGGGGTGATTCCAGAGCAGACAAGATGGCTCATCTCACAGCTTGTTGGGGTGTCACTTCAGTACATTACCTTGCGCAGGGTCCGGGCAGGGAGGGCCGGGGGGGTGTCACCCAAGGGGTGGTGGAAGGCGTCAAAGTGTAAGGAGTAATGACCTGCAAAGGGAACAGAACCAGAGCCTAAGCTGGGGCCACTCTTGGGCTGCATGCCAGCACATTTTGCTGAGCCAACTGGGCAGGTGTGGGAAGAGTCTCCTGGGGACCTCTCAGCATTGAAGGCCACAGAAAAACCTCTCTTCATCAAAGTTCTCCAAAACATAGGCTGCTGGAGTAAAAGACACCTACGCCACACAGAAGGTCAAGAAAGTTGAGTGCATCAGAGCCCATGGAACAACAGGTCACAGGCAGTGGTGGCTCTCTAGCCCGCTGCTGGGCGATGACAGGCTGATGAGTATTGGGCTTGGCACAGTCAGTTCTGTTGTCTTCAGCCTCCCTGGTTGGGAGGGCCTCACTGAGTTTACCTGCTGTACTCAGAAACCTCACTGACCCCAAAGCCCAGCAGGATCCTTTCTGTGGCTGGGATGTATTTTCCTTCACTGAGTCAGCCCAGAGAATGGCCCATCTTCTCAGCCTTGAGGGCTGCTGCCCTTGCCCCTGAGCAGAGTCTGAGACCAGGGACTATCTGGGGGACCCGCTGGAGGTCTTCTTACCATGCAGCAGGCTTCGGGGAGGCACTGGGGGGGCCAGGATGCACCCCGTGTGGGCAGACAGGAAGGGCTGGGCCTCTCGGGCTCCGCTATCCAGGCTCCAGCTGCTGGGGGCTGCTGGCACCGCTGAAGGGTGGAAACAGATGGCATGAAGGGAGGTTACTTCTTGAGCCACCCTCTGGGAGAAGCCCATTCTATGGGCTTCTCCATATGCTTCTCCATAGCATATGGCTTCTCCAGGTGTGCACTATGTACCCAGAACATGTGGGGGTGGCATGCCAGCCTGTAGGACAGAAAAACATTGGCTAAGCAAGACACTGTGACCCACAGTGGAGAGTGGCCAGGGATAGAAGCCGCTTAAGAGGATGGCAACAGAGTGAACTGATGTTGAAGAGTACTCAGGATGAGGCAAGCTGACAAAGTGCAGCAAGGAGTAAACATCTGCAGCCTCCAGAATTTGCCAGGAGGAGAAGAGAACAGAAGAGGTGAAAAGAGGAGAGTGGAACAGGTTGATGAGACTGAGAATACAGAGAGAGCACAGGCCACAGAGGTTTTCACCAAAGTCAAGAGTCAGGGCCCTCCTACTGCCCCAGCCCAATGGGAAAAGCAGAGAGCAGGATGGGCAGGAGGCAGAGACTGCCTCCTAGAGCTGGTGCATGGCCAGGGAATGGGCAGAAGCTGCCCTGACAAAGGGCCTGTGGTAACATACAATCTTCGCCTATTTCCATTTCTTCTGTGCCCACTGGCTGGGTTTGGGATACACAGGGGGTTTTTCTAGGTGAGGACTCTTATTCGCTTTGCCCACTGGAGAAAAGAGTATAAAGCCCAGATGTTGTGGTCCAGGTCCAGCTGGACCTGCTACTTCCCAAGAGGAGGCAGGGCTGTGAAGCCCATGGGTGCTTTTGGGCATGTAGAGAGGCCCAGTTCCTAGGATTCACATATCATGGATGCAGGGTAGAGGGGGTCCTGGACAAAGGGGAACATGGAGTGTCCACCTATGCTAAGGAAAGAGTCCAGTGCCAGAATACTGGCCCCTTGGCCAAAGCTGGGGTAAGCTACTTTGCAGGAGGGGACAGGAGAGGAAGAATGGCTGGACTTTGGGATATGAGGGTGCCACTGCAGGAGCAGCAGGGGACATGTGAATCCTGTTGGCCAACTCCTCCTGGAGAACAAATACCACCAAGAAGAAATACGCCCTTTCTCTGATGAACTAGGCAAGCAAAACTCCTTTTTGGGCTGTCAGCAGCAGGGAAGCAGCTCACAATCCAGGGGCCTAGCCGTATTCCGAGGCAGTCATAGTTAAAGAGAGCCTGAGAAGGCTGGGGTTTGGGTTCTTTCTGCTCCAGGTACTGAGTGGGGAATGCCAGGGCCTAATGGGACCTGAGAGGCTCTGGAAGGGGAGAAGCTGGAGTCTAGCCTTTGAGGAGGATGTGGCCAGGAGGGGCTGGGCCCCACATGGTCCAGGTGACGAAGATGTGACGTCCATCCTCTTCCTCCTCATTGGTCAGGAACTGGCGTGGGCTTGCAGCAGAAAATATGGTAGAACTCCACTATCTAAACAGTCTCAATTCTAAGGAAGATTGCTCAGTCTCATGGGATGGTTGATGGCTGGTGACAGGAGGGAGGGTGTAGCAGTGATTGGGTGGGCAGGCACTCAGCTGTCATCTGAAGTGAGGAAAGAATTCTGAATCTGATAAGCATCAGGTGGATTCCAACAGAAGGCCTCCTCAGAGAGCCTGAGCCACCCCAAGATCAGGACAGGTCCACTCTCATGCAGGCTTTCCTCAAGATGTGGCATGAGCTGCCTGGTCCTCAGCACTGAAGCTTCCCCTCTCCAAAAAGAAAAGGTCCATCTCCATAAAAAGCCACCAAATTTCAGGGAATAAGAAGCTAGGAGGTAGGTTTGGGCAGCTTCCCCAAAGGGGTTCTGACAGCTCAAGATCTCACCTGCACATTTAGGCCCTAGAAGAATTGTGGGGCTGCAAAAGTTTACCCACAAGGGACCAAAGGAACTTGCAGGCAGGAAGGCTATGGTGGAAGAAAGCTGACAAGGCTGCACTGGTTTACAGAGGGTGCCTGCCTGAGCCACTCCATGTGAACCAGAAATCATCAAGCTCGCCCCACAGCCTGATGTTTGTGAGCAGTGTGGCTGGTGGACCTTTGCAATGCAGCACAAGTGCATTGGGGCTAAGGGAAAATATAAGATAGAGTGACTTATTCTAGGAGAAGAGGGGCAATCCCCACTGTGTTCTGGCCATTTCTCTCTCTCTGTTTACAATGGCCCAGCACTGGCCTGAGGTCCCTAGTGCATAGCCCATAGCCCTGAGGGCAGGCTTGCCTGGTCTAGGAATCACTGCCTGGCAAAGAAAGATACTTGCAAATAAGAAGTAGAGTCCTTGTGGAACTCAGGATCCTGATAACAAGAGAATGGTGACAAGTATGTACAGTTCCTGTCCTGAAGGATCCAGGTAGAGACTTAGGGAGTTATTACTCTGGCCTATGTGTTCCCACTATGTAAATGTCTAATTTGCTGCCCACTAAAGCACTGGCCTTGTCGTGTGGACATGCTTGCTCTGGGCTCAGCTTCTGTTCTGAGACAACTGTCTTTCCTTCGACACCTGGGGGTGCGTGTCCAGCTTCTTGCTGCAACGTGGTCTGTGGCCTGAGGCTCTTCTGTGTCCAGTTGGCTTAGGGTCCTGGTCTGGTCACCAGCACCCACTGGAGCTCTGAGCCTGTCTGTGCTCTTGGCTGGTTTTCAGATTGCTCCACATCTCAGGTGAAGAAAAGCCACGGATGATTCTGGCCCTTGAGGCTAAAAGGGCACTTTGTTTGGGGGCACAGGTGCAGGGGGGTCCAGGTAAGCCACATGTTTTTGGGATGTGCAATCTTGAGGCTAGGAAAGCATCTTCAGTCAGAATTTCCATGCCCTTTGTGGTTGAGCACCCGGCACCAATGCCGACTAGGCACTGAGGTCATGCACTCAGTATTTGGTCTCGTAAAGAGGATACAGAGACACGTCCTCTGTAATGAGCAAGGGAGGAACAGTGACAGTGGGGACAGCACACAGCACTTAGTGAGGAGATGCAATGACAACAGCTTGGAGGGACATGTTGGTATGGGAACATGGGAGCAGGTTCCCATGCCCTTGGTGGGCAGTTCCCATATGTTCTTATGGGAACAGGTCGCATTGTTGGGGACTGAGTGTACCCTAAACTCCAACAGATGGAAGAGAGGCGAGAGGAACCTACAAGGAGAGGGAATGATACGGGACCAGGTTCTGGTGTGGCAGATAGGTTTAGCATAGTCCCATATAGGTATTGCTCTGTGTTAAAATTAACTCAGGTCTCCATGTCTGGGTCTTTGGGTCTGAGCCTGGTTCTTCCATCAGCTTGTTGGAGCAGAACATAGGGTAAACTCCACTATCCAAACAGCCTCTGTTCTAAGGATTGCCCAGTCTCATGGTATAGTTGGATGGGCTGGCAATGTATAAGATGGACTCAAAGCAGCTGCTGGCCAGAGTGAATAGAGGAGGACTGGACTCCCTTAGGGGTACCCAGGACTTCCCTTGGAGAGGACCGTCTCTGGGAAATTCACTTTGCCATGGCCTGTCCTTCCCATTCTTCTTGGGGCTTGCTGGGCAGCAGACCTGTTCTGAACAACAAGGAGAGGTCCCTGAGGGCTCAAGTTGACAAAGACCAAAGGGGCCACAGGGCCTGCTGAATTCTGGGGCTGGTTGGGAGGATCCCAGGGGAGTAGTTGCCCACGGTTTGCACATAGCAGCCTGAGTTTTCATAAAGGTGGGCTCGGGGCAGGTGGCAGCTGGGGCCTCTCTGAGGGTGGGTCCTGGGAGGGAGAGATACAAACTAGGATCCAAACTAACAGGATCCAAACCTCGGCATCAAGCCAGATGTGGGTTTAGCAGTGAGCATAGGAATTGGTCAGGACTCTGGACAGATAGACAGGCCTAGGTATTGGAGTATGGCTCAGCCTTGGCTAGCTGGTGCCCAGGGACAAGGGTCAGATGCTCAGGATGGGGACAGACATGGGGGAAGGCTGCCAGGGAAGGGGAACAATACCTTTTTCAGCCACAGACAGATTGGGATCACTGCAGGGTTTGCAGGCTCCGACCACTTGCTGGAACAGGGCCCGCTGGAAATTTGGCAGCTGAGGAAAGGAGAAAACATCAAAGAGGGTTAAAACAACCAGTTACACCTTGGGGGCAGTGTTGTGGGCTACAGGAGGCAGGACATTCCAAGATCAGATGGGGAACTCAAAGCAGCGGTACGGCTCATGCGTGAGATGTGTTGAGAACTTCAGGCCAGCTGTAGGAAGACTGTCCAGATGGTCCAAGAAGGCCATCCTCCAGACCCATGCCCAGCACTGCTTTCTCAGGACAGGAAAGAACTAATTTCCTTTGCCAGACTGTTTAGGGATGCAGAGTCCAGGAGGCTGACCAGAAGGACAGAGAGCCACACAGGCAATGTGCTTCCAACTCTGCTGCCATTCTACCCACAACTGTACTCTGTCTGGATTGCTGGTCCTCAGATTCAGTGCAGTCCCCATCTGGGAACTCAGCAGCCTTCTGAGGGTCTTATGGCAGAATGAGAGAGGGATGTAAGACAATGCAGAAAGCCTAGCAAATGCAATGAGGGAAGTCTAGGCCAACACACTTGCAGCAGAGGGCAGCCAGTAGGCTGGGTGTACTACCTGACCATTCTCCAGGATGGCTGCTGGATACATGGCACTGCTTGGGCGGTCCCGGTGTGTGGGCAGCAGCAACATCATTTCCCGGGCGTGGCGGTACTTATCTGGCAGAGAGGGAGAGCCTGTAACCAAGTGAGAACAATCACGCACAGATGACAAGCCACAGATGGAGAGCCCAACGGGCAAGCATCCTCGGGGCCAGGGAGCCAGGTTAGGTGTTCCCTTGCAGTTGGGGTGAGGATGAGCTTGGCAAGCACAGGAGGAATGAAGCAGAGCCTGGTGGTTAGATGGTTGTGGGGGCTGCACCTGGTGTCCCAGCCAAGGCAGACATACTGCAGACTGGGGTGATGCACACCCACTGACAGAGTCCCCTCACCATGCTCAGAGGCAGATCATGAGGAGAGTTGAGGAGTGGAACCAGGCTCTAGCGGCCCCCTGCACCCAGCACTATTGGGAGATGGGTATGGCCTGGATGCTGGGCTCTCTCAGGAGGCCCAGGCATGGGCACAGACCAGCTTGCAAAGAAGCCATCACAGAAACAGAAACACTCAGATAACATAGCAGCACAGTTCTTACTTGACACTTTGTCTCTACACACTTACCTTCTCCAGACACCACTGGCCTTGTTCTCAGTTGGCCCCATACCACCTTTTCCCAGAGGTTTCTCCCTCCCAGATTCCAGGCCCCCAGAACCTGGCCTCTGTCTTCCTGGCCATCCTACTGTAGCCCTAGAGCTAGAGAGGCTGGGGGCCTAGGGCCCTGCATATAGGTGGCTCTACAGGGTTTCTCACTCTGAGACTTGCCCTTCAGTAAACTCGGGGGTCATGGCACTAGTCTGGGAGTTCTGGGTCTTTAACCCAGGCTCTTGAGTTGACTTGGTTCATATTCTTCTCTTGTGAGGCCTCTGCGGTGACTTCCTCTGGTCTAAGAAGCTGTTATGGAGGCCAGACCACGCCACATATGGTATGGCCCAGTCCCCATCAAAGTAAACCATAGCTATAGGCCCAGGAACCTGTCAATCCATGGTCCTTGAGGGGACCTTCCACAGAAGGAGTGAGAATAACTTACTGGCTTTCGCTGGGAATGGATAATTTGGAACGCACTCCAAATGGGCACTAGTCATTGTGCCAGACACCAGATTGTGCATGAAAAACTAGTGGGGTCTTCTGGACCCCTCATGCAAGGGTTACCTAAACCCTAGTGCCCCCTATTTGTCCACTGGCAGCCTCTCGCTGGCTCAAGTGGTTGAAACCTCTCTCTGTGGCGTGCTCTTAGTGAGGCTGGGCTCCATCTGAGAGGTGAACTTGCAGCTCCGGAGGCTCTGTGGCCCTGAAACCCAGGGTCTCTGGGGTCTTCCTTTGACTGTGCAGTGCAGGCTCTATCAGAGCACAACTAAAAAGATATTCTGCAGCCAGCTTGCCCAGGAGTCCTTGAGAGATTCCTCTGGTACTCATTGTAGTCCAAGAAGATGAGGCTTAAATACTTTGAAGAAGTCAGTATAATAAAAACCTGTAATGCAATTATTATTTATGTAAACTTCTTCTACAGCTGGTCTAAGCGATCCTGTTTGCAGAACCTCAGGGCTGGCTTTAAGGTCTTTTTAAGACCTAGTCATAAAAATATCCTTCATTCATAAGGGAATGAGTAAAGTATGCTTTTTTGAAAAACTAGGTTTGAATTGCTACTATGGTAATTTTCTTTACAGATTTCAATGTTTTCTTTTAGAACTTTTGCTCTCAGGGAACATCAAGAGAATGACTGTATAAAGAAAAAAAGAAAAGAGCTCCTAATCCAACTGATTTCTATAGTGCCTTCCCAGCAAGAAACTCCAAATGTTCCCTGAGCCCTGCAAGTCACAGCTCTGGACCGGGATATCCTCCACTTAGCATGCACAGAAACAGGCAAAGAAAGAGATACATCGGGGCCAGCCCTGTGGCCGAGTGGTTAAGTTCCTGTGCTCTGCTTTGGCAGCCCAGCGTTTCACCGGTTCAGATCCTGGGTGTGGACATGGCACCGCTCATCAGGCCATGCTGAGGCAGCATCCCACATGCCACAACTAGAAGGACCCACAACTAAAAATATACAACTATGTACCGGGGGGCTTTGAGGAGAAAAAGGAAAAATAAAATCTTTTAAAAAAAGAAACAAAAAAAGAAAGAGATACAGCACCTTTACACAAACTCAGTTACATCAAACTCATATCTAATACCCGTTCCATACCAGGCACGCAGTTGGAACATGGTATACTGCCTTGCTTAGGTTGGCCATAGTCCCTGACCTCACGAAGCTCACAGCCGGGCTCACTAGGCCAACCTCAGATCTGTGTACCCAATATCCTGATACATATTTGGGGGCTAGGATGGAGGGACAGCAACTTGCAGGCCCCAGGGGCTCTGCTGAGGATGTGCGTCTGTCACAGAAGGCCCTCTGGTGCTATAACAAAGGGATTGTGAATTTTCCAACTCTACCATCTCACTTCCCTTCCACTGCCCTCTGCCCTGGGCAGCCAATCCCATGGTTGGAGAGAATGATGACTACTTTTCATGAAAACACTTCACCAACCACAAGAGCTTTTGTGTCACAGGACTTCTGAACTACTTGAGTTGTAGTCTGGTAAACCCCAGAGCCACCAAATCTCAGATGACTGTTATTCTAGGAGGATCAATCACAATCCCTGTGTTTCCTGGCCCGGATCAGTCTTTTGACCACCAGAGGGAGCTGCCAACATACAAGAGTTTAAGACTGTGCCTTGCCAACCGTTTATCTTGAAGGTTTCCAAAGTAACAGGGACCACAGCTGAGAGCTTCAATGGGCATGGTGAGGGAGGCCACTGGTGTCATGACCACTCCTGGGAGGGGGGGAAGTGACTCAAATGCAAAGAACCCTCCAGAACACCTTCTCCATGAAAGCCTTCCCCTCACCTGTAACACCAGACATAAACCCCAAACAGAGTGGACTGCTCCTTTCCTTCTTTGTGCCCAGTGCATCTACTACTGCATCTACCACATTTATCTGAAAATATCAGTCTTCCTCTGTGATGCTGGGTCACATTCTTCTATCTTCTCTCACAGGGCCTAAGACTGTGCCTGATATATGCTGGGCTCACAGTTTTCTCCAGATGGGCCTGCATGGATGTTGTAGCCTAGAAGTGACTTCCTGCTCTTTCTTAACTGCCTCTGCCCTTATCACCATTCCATGCTTTCTTTCCAGTTCTATTTCACCATTTTGTTTACTTAACATGCCTTGCAGCCCATTCATCTTGAAGGTTTCCAAAGCAACAGGGACCACAGCAGAGAGTGTTAATGAGCATGGTGAGGAAGGCCACTGGTGGACTTAATGTCTACTGTGGGAAGGGAAGGGGCTTCTACTGGCCTCTCGATATATGATAACCTGGAGTTTGGCCCTTGCGATAGCTTGTCTCCAGAGACGGTGACCATCAATGCCTTCCCTCCCAAAACACACATGCCACTCCTCACATCATCAGGTGGAGTCTCGTTCCCCACCCTGGTATCTGAGTTGGCCTTAGTGACTTGACCAGCTAAGAGAATGTGGCAAAAGGGACATTCTGGGACTTCCAAGACTGTGTAAAAAGTAGCCTTGCAGCTTCTGCCTGAGTCTCTTGGAATACTTGCTTTGGGGAAAATCAGCTGCATGCTGTGAGAAGCCCAAGCCACATGGAAAGGCCATATGTAGGGACTCAGGCTGATAGCCCAAGCTGAGCTCCTGGCTGATAGCCACAATCAACTGCCAGCCATGTGAGTGAGCCATCTTGGATGTCTAGCCTAGTTGAGCCATCAGATGATCCCAGCCCCAGGTGACATATGACTACACGCTCATGAGAGAATGCAAGTGAGAATCGCTCAATGAGCCCTGTTAACCCACAGAACCATGAGAGACGATAATAAATTGTTGTTTTAAGCTACTACGTTTTCAGGGGGGTTGTTATGCAGCCATAGATAACCAAGCCATTTGAAATAAAGAGGGATTACTTCCAAATGAGGAGAAAATAATATCTCTCTATTCAACTCTGATGATGCAAGAGCCACGCAGATTCCTCACTGAGCACTTGCAAAAGCTTGATGAGTGAACAGAGATCAGTAAATGGTTAGCTGGAAGGTAACAACAAGCCTATGAGGTCCCGGATGGCATTCTGTCCAGGGCACTGAGTACCAGGCACAGCCTAGAGGAAGTATCTGAACAATGTCAGAGTGGAATTGAGTTAAAATGTCCACTCTTTGCGGCCTTCTGTTTTTTATCAACAATCATGGATCAGAGATCTGTCTTCAGCAAGAACACCCAGATAAAGTCTTAGATATGGCTGAGTATATCTTAGAGAGTTGTTCAAGTTAGAAAATACCCACACAACAGATTAGATTACAAAATCTGGGTTTCTATACCTCTGTTCAGTGTTAAAACACTGCAAATGCTGACCTCCACTACAGTATTTGTGGCTAACTTCTCAGGGTTTCCTTCCTTTTTATCTCCAAAGCCATTTTTCAATGTGCCTTCTTTATAACACAAATCACTGTTCCTTCTTTATGTTTGCAGCCTTCACATATGGACTGATCTTCAACAAGTGCCCCTTTGTTGGTTCATTTGTCTTCTTTAACACTAAAAATGCCTGCTTCCAAACGCTGGCTCCCCTTTTCTGAGTGTTATAATCCATGTTAGGAAGGCAACTATGAAAGTGGAATGGGCATCAGATTGAGGGCTGGAGGGTGTAAAGACTTGTACTCCAAATTCAGCTTGGTCACAAACTGGTTGGATAACCTTAAGCCCCTCTCACTGGTCTTGTTTCCCCCACAGCAAATGAGGGGTTGGGCTGGATGCTTCGGGTGAGTCTGTGGCTGCACCTGTTGCAACCTTATCCCACTCTGCTGTCTCCTGAAGCTTTTCCTGGTTGGCCACTGCATCTCTCCATCACTTTGCCCCTGTTCTCTCTATCACTTCAACTGTGGGCCTTAGAGGTTTGTGTGCTTTGAAGAGATTTTTTTCCTTAATGACTCTCCATGTCATAAACGTGTGCTATTTCTTTGTCTTCAGAATAAGAAGAACAAAGAGATTTTATCCCTCTGAAGCCTGGAAGCAACAGCCAGTGACTGGCTGGCAAGCTCAGACCACTTTCTCCTGTTACTATCCTGCATAGCCAACCCTGGGAAGCACTAGATCTTAGTTACCACAGCTAATTTCCATCCTACTGCAATGATCCTACCTAAAAGGAGAGAGAATCAAATTTTAATGTAGGATCAAGGATCAGAATGTGAAAAAGATGCTGGCTCTGAGAGAACAATATTTATCCAATTGAATAAGAAATCAAGCAATAATTGGCAAAGTAAATAGCTTTTTATAGAGCCATCTCTCTTGATTAAGCCATTCCCACCTGAAGAAAGTGTTTCTGGTTATTATTACTGTTTTAGAATAACATTTTCCATTTTAATTTTAGCCATCAAATTTAATTTTCATACTTTGTCATCATGCTTGATTCCTCAAGACAAGACTCACTTTTGCCTTAACTTTGATCTTTATTCTTCACACACTTCAATGGAAAAGAACTGAGCTCCTAAGCTGTGTGTCCCCTTAACTGAGGTAGAGATGCATTGGCTGGTGACCTCAGAGGCAGCACAGCTGCCGCCAATGCTCAGAGCAGGGTCTGAAGCCAGCCAGAGAGAGAGTTAGAGGTAGGAACCCTGGGTCCTTAGTGCTGAAAGCACAGATGAACATTCTCTCAGTCACAGGACCACTTTCAAAGACACAGCCACAGAGGAGAGGAGGAGGAGTGAGCCCTCATGAGGCTTCCCTCTCCTCTCCATTCTGTAAGCAGTGCCCTGCCATCCTTACCTCGGGCACTGGAAGGGGCAGAGGTAATCATCTGGGATGGTGCTGAGTGAGTGGAACTCAGGCTGGAGGAAGAAGGGCTTGCCTGGGACGAGGACAGAACAGAGACGTTGGTGACTGAGCCCTGGTACCTGGGATTGGGATACGCGAGCTGTAAAGGGAGAAAAATCAGCAGGATAGAGGTCTGAATGGCCAGACTGTAGGACTGGCCCAGAGTTGGCATCTTCATGCCATGAGGTGCCTAGACCCAGTATCTGATGCTGTACCCTGGGACCTGATGGAAGCCAGGCTGATGGACAGCACGAAGGGTCACCCACACCACGAAGGGTCACCCACACCACCCATGGAGCAGAGCTGTTGGGTTGGCTCTAGTGATGGTGCCCATGGAGCAAGCAGGACTCAGCCATCAGGAATGCCAGGCAGGAGGGCAATTTGCAGAGGATCTTTCCTACGAGATCTCTAACAGCAGCCAGGACTGAAGTTGGATTTCTTTCTTGGGAAATAAGGCCTGGGAACCGTGATATGGGATGGTGTGGAGGGTAGGCAGTTTTGTTAGCTCTGGATGTTCTGAATTCAGGAACTAGGGAACTAGGCAGAGTTGCCAGCCCTCAAATCAGACTAGCCAGTAGAGAGGTGAGTCCTCCAGGTACAGGACCCTGGCCCATTCTCTTTAGACAGCTCTGGTACCTGCATGTGGTGGTACAGGTCCTCGGGAGCCTCGCCCATGTTGCTGTCACCGAGCATCACCACATTTCCAGCTTCACTAGACGCGTGTGATGAGAGAGAGGATGATGAATGGCGGCCTGTCCCCATCAAGTTCATGGGGCTGTGAACAAGAGTGGGAAATAGGGAAGAGTCAGGCCTGGAGCCAAGAAACCATGCTAGGTGAGGGGACTATAGAAGGGGGTGGCCAAAACAGTCATTCCCAGCCTCAGTCACCACTGGTTTTGAGGGTTCCATAGCTAATGTTCATATCCATCTGAGGCCTGGAGCAGTCCTGAACCCCACCCTGCTGCTCAGGGGCCCCTGGTCTGGGAAGGCCAATGCTACACTGGCATAGCCTCTACTTAAATTGTTTATGGCTACTCAGTCTGATGACAATCAGCAGTTTCTCAATTAAGAAGAATAAGAGAGAGATGCTGAATCGGGTCAAGAATCCCTGATCCCCCTTCCTATGGGGTATTAATCTGAGCCAGCACCCAGCCCCTGCTGGGATCTGCTCCTAGATCAAGGGTGTCTTCCTCATATGGGGAAGCTATCAAAAGAGCTGACTGTGAACCATCTGTTGGCTTCCTTTCACATCTGTGGCCAGAAGCTTGCCAACTATCAATATTCGGCAGCCCCTCATTCATTCATTCCTTCTCTTCTGCTAAGTGCTCACTCTGTGCTGACTTGTAGCTCACACTGGAAAACAAAGCCAAGTGAGGGGCTCCTGTCGCTGGCTTCTCCCCTGGCCTGACCTTCCTACCCTGGATGCTTTGTGTATCCTTGGTTGAGCTCAGGCAGACCAGGACTCCTGAGTTCAGAGCAGCCACACCTTGATATCCACATCACCATGTTGTTCTCTTCCTTAAAACTGACTGGTGATCCTCATTCCCCTTGGGATCAAGTCCAAAGGCCTGAATGAACAAGGCCCATTCAGAGTTGGTCCTGGCCCCCTTCCATGCCCTTCAATCCTGTACTCCAACCACTTGGTTCTACTTGTAGTGCTAACCAGGCTGGCTTGTTCAGATCTTGAGGCATCTGCACATGTCAGTCACTTTGCCTGGATCTTGCTCCATCACCCTCCTAATCCCAACTGTTTTCTGCCTAGCAAACTTCTACTTACCCTAATGCCCCTTCCTCAATACCACAATACCATGTATACTATCCTGTTACCCAGGATAGCGACAGACAGGATGCAGAGAATGGGTCCTGTGTCAGGAACTGTGTAAGTGTTTGCTCTGTTCTTGGGTAAGAGGGCATGTGAGTGAGTACACATAAGCACTATTTCAGACTTCCTTGCTCTGACCCTTGACATTCAGACTTACCTCTGTGGAGGGGACCTTCCCCAGTCCTAAGGCCGTACCTGTGCCGGTGGGTCATCTTCATGCTCTCAGGACTCATGGGGCTATGGGATGCTAGGACATTTCCCCGTGGGGTGCTGGTGCCTGAACATGCAGGACTTAGCTTGTCCAAACCTGGAAACTCCTGTTGAGAAATGAATACCCCTTCACCAGAGAGTAAAGAACAAATAAGTAATTAAGGGGTGAGAGGGAAGAGCAGACTGGTGGTAGAAATGTAAAAGAAAAAAAAAAGAATTGTATACTGTTGGCTGAACCTGAACTGCTGACTTCTTTTGGGCAATGACCTCTTCATGACTAAAATACCCTCCTAACCGCACTGGAATCTAGACTAGAGGCTGTGAGGCCCTAGGTTGACCCCATTAAGAGAACCCATCTGGAAAAGGCTGATGTTGGTCTGAGTTCATAGGAGTGTGTTAACAGGCTTTCACTGCAGAACAAGTAAAACAAGAGCTGGGAGGCAGGAGAGAAAGAGCTGATTATTAGCTGTTAGTCAGTGGGCACCTCTTACATAAGGACTGGGGTTGGGCTTTATTGGATTGCTAAATGGCCCAGCTCTTAGTGACCTGGGTTGAGTTGTCTGTGACACTGCCTATGGAAGACAGGACACAAAATCCTGATGTAAGTAACTGAAAAACAGTAAGTTCTATTTTAGCATAAATAAATTCTCATTAAGTACATACACATCTTGGCAGAAACTTTTGATCCCAAACCCTCCTGGGTGACAGCACATTGGTTAGTGTCCCTATTTGCGACTCTGAGGAAACAAAGCACAACTGTCCAGGTTTCCTCAAGTCCTTCAAAATCTGGGAACCCTAAGTCTACTGGGGATGTTTCTGAGGGTGGCCTAAAGAAGTAGCAGGTTTTCCATTCCCTCTTCCAAAGCATGCAGAAGGATGAAATGTGCTCCTACAGCTGGAGAGGACACCTCCATGTGCGTCCTGGAGACCCTGACAAACGTGGGCAAGCATCTTGTGTTTTTTGCTGCAGTGACCTGATAGCCTGCATGGCAGAGACCCCCTGAGCGGCCAGGCTCTAGCTTGTCTGGGTCACTTGCTGGGATGGGGAAGTTTGTACACAGCAGAGAGCAGCCACACCGGCAGGAGACACAGTAGAGAGAGAGGTAATGGAATACCCTTCAGATTCAGTGACACTATCCAAGTTCTTTACTAAATGTACATCCTAATTTTAAGGGAAAAACATAAAAGACTTCCTCTGCATGTTTCACCTTTAAATACCCTGGGGAAATCATTACAGAAAGGAGAAATTTCAGGTACTATGGGCTTCCCTCTGGAAAATGTGCCCATTTCTCAAACAGTAGACAAGCTTCTTTTTCTCTTGTTACATTTCATGCTGTTCACACTTGTGCAGGAACAGGCTGAGACATACTCTAGGGGCTTGGAGGGACTGAGATAACCAGAACCTCCAGCATCCAAAAACAAAGCAAGTTGACCCCAACAGGTTAGGCCCACTAAGTCTGAGTAGTCCAGTCTCCCACGGCATCTGTGGCCAGTGGTCATCCCTGAAGGGGAGCTTCTTGTCCATGATGGCCTTGCCCCACACCAAACAGCTCTACTTCCTTTGCCTTCCTGCCACTTCTACCTAGTGGTCCTGGGTGATAAGAAGAGAGCAGCAGGTAACTGGACTCACAACCCTTGAGATCTGGCAGCCAGCCTGTTTAGCAGGTAAGTTTCTCTAGAAAACACCTGGAGTCAACCTCATGATTGAAAATGGGGTAAGGGCATGTGAACAGGGGGCTCAAGACAACTTGAACCCTATTCTCAGCCAGCCAGTATTTCCTGTAAGACCCTCGAAGGGAAACTAGTCCTGGAACACAGGTCTTGCTTCTGCTTGTGTGTGTGAGTCCTTGGGCCAAATCTTGCTTTGGAGGCCTAAGAGCCAGGCCAGAGTCAGGGAGACCTTCCAGGGCCTGGGCCAGCCCCAGGACCTTCCTGATTCCTCTAAGAGCACGAAAGTACTGCCTGCCCTAGGCTTTCTCAGATGTGAGCCTGGCTCACCAGACATATTGGAGGAAGAAGGAGGGAGGGTAGGAAGAGAGCTAGAGGATAAAAGGATAACGGTAAAGAGAAGGAAAGGAGAGAGAGAGAGAGAGAGAGAGAGAGAGAGAGAAAGAGAGAGCGAGCGCACGCAGAGGGCTGGCTCAGGCTATGCCTTACCTCTGCAGGTTCTTGGGATGAAAAATATCTCCAAAGAGACCCCTATCTGTGGGCCATATACTTCAGCTCTTTTCTTCCTCATATGAAAACCTCTCTTCACCAGCACAATGGCTTGAAAGAGCATTCTTTGCCCTTGAATCTGACTTCTCCTTAGTGAGGGAGTGAATAAGGGGATTCTGGGCATCCTTCCCGTGGATAGAGTACCCACCTCTGCCTTCTGCCCCTCTGTGGTAGGGACAGCTTTTCCTTCACATTCTCCTTCTCCCTCTCCCACCTATCCTGTGGCTTGATGCACAGGTCTGGAGGAAGGGACACCTGCTTCTACTGCTGCAGGGGCAGGACAGGGATCAGCTTACATGGTAGAGACTGGCCCGCATCATCTGGAACTGATCTATCAGTTTCTTATGCAGAGGGCGCATTTCTGGGTGCACAAACTTCTCATGAACTGCCAGTCCGACTCCAAGGATATGGACCTATTAGAGAGACAGACAAGGGCACTCTGTTAAGCCAGGAAACAGCCCTTGAGAACTGAAGCCATCCTATTTTGCAAAGCCTTTCCCTCCTGGCCACTGGCCTCCAAGCCCTGCAAGACATACCTGCTCCTGCATAAGCTCCTTGAGCTGGGTGATCTTCTCAGCATCTCCTGGGTGTTTGGTGATGTAATCTTTATCAAAGAAGGCCTGTGAAAGGAAAGGCCAAGTCAGGAAGACTCTTCCCAGGACTATTAGTTAGATGGGGCCCAGGAAACTTGAGTCTGAAGATGCCACCTGAAAGACAGCTGGGCTGCCTCCTCACAGGTACACACACCAACACAGCTCTAGCCTGGCCTGCTTGAACATCTTGCAATCACAGGTATGCTTTTTGCATCTAAGAAGGACTGATGGTGGCTAAGTCATTTAAGCCTGGATGCTGGTCCCGGTCCCTTAAGACTGGATGGCCTGGGTAGTGGCCAGGGTGTCTAGTCTCTTAGACAGCCCACAGCTCGTTACTTGTAAAGTGCTGGGCTCCAGGGCTCCTCTTGGAGGCCACTTAACATCCTTCCATAATCAGATGGGTTTAATAAAGGAAGAATAAAAAGGAAGAAAGGCTCTACCAGAGAGCTGTGCCACAGAAGTAGAGAGCTTAAAGCCTCATCCCAGGACCATCCTCAGTCAGCTGAGGCACAGCCAGGAGAGGGCTAGTTGGGAAGACTATCCTAGGAGGCTGGAATCTCAAGAAGAGGAGCCTAAGAACCACCTTCCCAGCCAGGCTGCCTGTGTGGGTTTGGTCTAGGGCCTCAGCTCACCTCTTGGTAGCGTGCAATGCCTCCATTAACTGCTGCATCGATGACGCCATTCAGGCACATGCTCAGCAGGTTGATGTTGCTGTGCACCTGCTTGTGTTGATACTGGCTGATCAGGGCCCGCAGCTCCTGGTTCTTATTCTCAACCACTTGGATGGCATTCTCCAGTGGGCTCACCTCCACCTGGAGGCACACAGTGTATAACATCATCCAAGGCACAATGATAACCCCTCCCTCATCACAGCCCTGACAGCAGGGATCTAAGACCTGGGATGCTGATTCCCCACCCTTGTTCCTGTGGACTGGAGACTCCCTGGGCCCTTTCTAATGTTCTCTTTTGATTTGTAGGCACTTAGAAGTACAGCAAATAGTGAAGAGCACCAATTCTGAAGTCAGAGAGCTCTGGCATCCTGAACCTCAGAGAGCAGTTTCTGCATCTGTAAGCTGGGAGATTAAAAACACCTGCTGCTTAGGGGTGTTGTGAGGTTTAAATGAGAGAAGGTATATAGAGCCCCCAGCACAGAATGGGCCTGTGGGAGCCTAGGCCAGGCAGGCGGCCAAAGCTCGCTTTCTTTCTTCAGTCCTTAGAGAAAGGTCCCCAAAGCCAGGGCTGAGGGAGCAGCTGTGAAGATCAGCCCCATCTGAAATGTGTCTCACCAGTTCCCTCCTCTCCACTTCAAACCACCGAGAGATGCCAGGCAAACTGTGGGTCAGGGTCAGCGTGGTACGCTCAATCCACAGGCTCTGTAGGGAGGGCATAGGCAGGTACAGGCCATTAGGCAATTTTTGCCACACCCCACCTGCTTGAAGGATGAGACAGTAAGGAGTTCCCGAGAAAGAGGGGCTGGCCTCTGGCCTCGCTATAAGCCCTCCCTCTGCTTTCCTAGATTTGTTCACCTTGAATTCATTCTCCTTGTCCTTGGGGCCTTTGTGAAAAGGCCTGTCGTACCGGAACTTCCTCACATTGTTGACACGGTAGAAGCTCTTGACTCGATCCGGGACCCTATCCATCTGTAGGACATCCACATAATCTGGAATGGGCGTCACTGCATAGATCTGCAAGTCTGGGCAGGAAGTGAAGGGTAAACCCAGACTTGCCAGAGAGATGGACCTGAGTAGGTGACTCCTGTCATCCCCTCAAAGGAGAGAACACTGTAGCCCTAGTTCTCTACCGGCAGCAGCAGCATCTCAAGGGGAAGATGAGATCCAAGCACAGTTAGACCAGATCTCCCTATCTGTACCTCTCTCTGCTACAGCAGTGAATCTCCTGAGCACTCAGCCAAGGTGAGATGTCAATGGCCAAGTGTTTTTCAGTGCCCCTTTAAGAAAGAAGGGGAAAGGGTTCAGGAGAATGCAGGTGCCCCACCCCTCAGGAGTGAGAAAGCTGCAAGGGCCTGGGCCTGCCCACTGTAGGTAAACTGTATTTACTGCAAAACAACATTTTAATAAAATATTCTTTGGGGTCTTTGTGGGGAGACAACATATGGGAGTCCACCTGCCCTCCCTTCTCTGGAATAAGCTTGCCACAGTCATAGTAACTGTCATAAGGCTTCCAAGGAAGCTGTGTCAGGGGGATGAGGGGCAGGCCAGTGTTTGCATTCAGACTTTCAAGTGCCACCAAGACTACAGGCACACCCCCTATCTCTTTCCCCACTCCCTCTGCCCCTAACCCTGGGGTTCTGCCTCAGTTCTCCTGACAAAGATGAGAGATAATAACAGGTGCACATGGGAGTGGAGCAGGGCACAGAATTTTTGGCATCCCTGTGGCACAAATCATGGTGGGAGTCCAAATCACCCTGTGTAGTGATTGTTCCTGGCTGCCTAGGCAGGTCTCTCAGAGGGCAGGATTGGGGGAATAAGGTGCTGGTAGCAACCAGCCTGAGGGATAAGGGTCCCCCTGAAGCCCTGATGATGACTAAGCCCTCCATGGCTGAAGGCATGCCACAGCCTCCTCTGTGAGGCATGAGTGTGGGCTTAGTGATGAGGATATACTCTGGTTCAGGACTTATGGGTAACCTAGCCTGTAAGGCCAACAACATGGCAGAAGGGCAGCTGACCGGTGGGCCTCACCTCCCAGGGCCCCAGCATTTCTTCCCCCACCAAGTGTCAAAAGATACACTGGGCGTCACACTGCAGGATGGCGTCATCAGGGTGGTTGGGGTGCTGCATGGCGACGGCCTGTGGGAACTCGCTGAGCATCCTCTGCTGGAAGGCCTCCAGCCTCTCGTAGTCGTGGCCACGGCACACATATTCTTTGTTCTGCCGCAAACATGAGAGCACACTCTATGCCTTGCCTGTAGCCCCCAACCTAAACATGGGTGTCAGCAGTTACTCATTTCACAAACATGTTCTAGGAATCCTGTGGCAGGCATGGGGCACAGCACTCAATCCCCGTCCTAAGGGAAATGATGGTTAAGTAGGAAGAGGGACAGAAGAAGGGAGAACTGCACAGTGAGGTGGCAGCCCTGGGGGTGGGGCACATGCTGCAGAAGCTTGGAGGAGAGAGGGCACCTTACCCAGGAAGGGGTGCAAGGTTGGAGGTGGGATTTTAGAAAAAAACCATGCCTGAAAAGAGTCCTGAAAGGTCCACCTGGGTTAGCTTGGTAGAGAGGAGTGGAGAAGGGCAATCTATGTGGGCACAGTGACAACCAAGGGACAACAGCCAAGACAAGAAAAGGTGCAATTGGACGGAGGGTGCACGTGGAGACTGGTGGGAAGGTGACTGAAGAGGCCTGCAGGTGTGTGCCAAAGTGTGTGTGATCACTATGTGTGCCACCAAATAATTTCAGAAAGGGGGGTGATCAGGAGCATGCTTTGAAGGATCCCTTTTGTCAGCTGGGAGGAAGAGTCTAAACGTTGCCCAGTATTCAGTGATTAATTATTGTAGCAAATCCTTTGCAAATCTGTCAGCAGAACAAATTGCTATCATTCTAACTACACATTTCTTAAAATCTTGCGTTACATCATATTTGGTTTGAGTTAGGTTGCAGTTTTTCTCTCTGTGAATTGAAGTCATGACAAGGCACCTTTGATCCTGCTGCTTTGTCTACCTCACAGCGGTCAAGAGTGAGTGGCTAGAGGAGGTTCCTCTGAAGCCTTCTGGTCACATCTGTCTGCCCAGCCAGGTGCCTCACCAGATCCACTTTGACAAAGTGGTGTCAAGCATTGGCAGCCCCTCCTGGCATGCCTTCAGAGGAAGATAGAGAAAGAAGTTCTACAGGGCCAGCCATATGCTTCCTGGTACAGGGATGATCACAGGTCAGGCCTTGCAGGACCTCAGACGTTTTGGGATAGGATTTCTGCTCCCTTTTCACTTCCCCTCTTACTATAGGAGAACTCAGCTAAGGCTGGGCCACATGTCTGGATGGATCAGAATGGAATGGCAACACTAGAAGGCAAGTCAAGGTCAGGGGGAGCAGCCTGGCCTCTCCAGTGGAATAGACCAGTCAAAAGACAGAGGTATTTCTAAGTCCCTTGACTGACATGCAGAACTGACAAAGAAGGTAATTGTGAAGAATCTGTCTTTTCATATCTAGTTGCAAAGGTACAATCCTCACCAGTGTCTGTTCATGGGTCAAGTGAAGAGAAACAGAAATTCCCCCAAGAAGGGAGGGCTGGATGTTTTCCTGTCTCTGTGCAGATTAGTAGATAATCACATTTGTGAAGCGAGGTAGGCAGATGGTCCAGAGAAACCAAGCTGACAAAGTTAAAGTAATAGACGGCCTGTGTGCTCAGGGAAGGTGAGGCGGTAGCCTAGCCTGCTGGAAGACCCAGCAGGAGAAAGGTACATAGTGTTGACCTTGAGGCTGGTTGTCAGTTTCAAGTTTGCGCGAGTGAGAGCTCCAGCATCCCTACACAAGGCAGATCTGGCTGTCACTGCTTTGCACTTTGTCCTTGCCATCTACAAGGTAAACAGCTACCTCCACTGGGACTTACTGTATTTGGCACAAACTGTGACCAGCTGAGGGAAGGGAAGGCAGCATGTGGCTAGACTAGGTAGATTTGCATGTATGAAACATAGCTCCTAGGGACTGCTCCTCATGTGGAGATGTGGATAGACTGATGGGTGACATTTCCTAACACCCATTGTTATTCTTCCTCCATTACTGGCCCCCTTGAAACCATGTCTGAACATTCAGACCGTCACTTGTGAGCATTGTTTGGGTAGCTCAGATGCAGGTTCTATGCCAGATCCTACTTGTCAGAAAGCTCTGAGAGCCCTGAGACACTGATGTGCCTTGTGACATGAACATGAGGTGGGGGGAACCAGGCTGTACTATGATGGAGACCTCCTGTTTGGCAGGGACAGAAATGGGGGACGCCAGGGCCTGATTTTGTAATATCCAAAATAATGATGTTTTAGACTAAAATCTGGTTTATGATGTACAGATTGTGGCACTAAACAAGGAAAATAAAATGACAATAAAGCATAATTTACAAAGACAAAATGAAAAAGAAATAAGTTACAGGGCAAGAATCATTAGTTTGTCAGAAAACTTTCTAAAGATGCTTTTGGTTTCTAATTCTTGTACAATTTATTCCTTCTCTTCTGCTGACCTCTACCTCCACTGCTGTGGTATGATCTATGCTGATGAGGGCAACAAATTATGCTACTTCTGAAATGTCTGGGCTGGACAGTCCCTAGAGAGTGAAGGAGGTCCTCTACTCATTCACATTCTGCTACTAGAAACATTCCTGTGGAACGGAATTAGAAGCTTCCTGGGGATCACAATTAGGCAGAGTGTGCTTGCTGTCCCTGTCAGTATTACTAGTTCCTACTGAAATTATTTTTACTTTTAGATTAGAATGATTACTGCTCAGGAAATGTGCTAACTGACCTGCCTTACATCTGAAATGTGGTTAGTCTGGACTCTGTTGCTAACAGACTGGCTTTTTTAAAGTAACCATTAAGCCCAGTTGCCCTTCCATGTGATATCAAACTTATTATTGCTCACTGGTTAAAGCAATTTCTCCAATAAGACAGGATCCCAAACATATCAAAGGGATCCTATGAACTTTCCCAGCTGCTCACTGAGACTTGTGGACAGTGAACTTTAGTAAGATATTGGAACTGGGGACAATCAGAGATAGTCTTAGGTCTCAACTGCAGCCCCAGGGACCTTTCATCAACACAGCTTCATTTAGGTCATCTGAGAACAATGAATCCCTATGGGCTACAGCCTACAAAAGCCCTTGCTGATTCCTCCTGAAGCCTCTGGCTTGTGCTGAATAAAGAAGAAAATCACAACTATTCAATAGGTGTCAATATGCCTATGCTCAGTCATTCTTTCCACTGTCCCAGTTCAGCTTTCCAGGGAACAGTGGAGAGAAATGGCTGCCATCATCCTGGGCCAGAGAACTGGCTGCATAGAAAAGGCTTTCCACAGCCAAGCCAATATTTGGCAATTCTCACAAGTCCTAGGAGCAAAGGGGACTGTCCTCTGGGTTCTCTCAAATCAGCAGTTCTCCGTCCTGGCTGCACAGCCTACAGTGCAGCCAGTGGGAAGAACCAACATCTTAAATGACAGACCCCAAAAGGCCAGCCTGCTGTCGAGGTCAGGGCTGTACTGGTGTCCTGTCTGGCTGAGAACAGTCACAATGGAGGATTCTAGGCAATGGAGGCAGAAGTTGGAAGGTTTCTAACTATGTCTATGGGACATTCTCAGACTCTGGTCATTTCCTAAAGGAACTTGGTTGATTTGGTAAGAAAACCACCTTCATACACTCCAGATTGTTACGAAATAGTACAGCAGAGTTAAACAGAGTCTAAACTTGGCAGCCAGTTCAGCCAAATAAAGCCAAATACCTTTTGTTGACTGCTCAGTCTTTCAAAACAAGAAGTATTCAGTAGAATAGACAAAAAGGTAAAAAAAAGGAGAACAGGTTATGAATGAATTATGTGTAAAATATGACAGAAGTTCTTATGACTACCTGAAGGAACTCACCCGAAGGAAGAAAGGAAACTTTCTGCCATAGAAGCCGACCCGAAAGAACTCAGGCTCCAGACGCTGCTGCTCCATGATGTTGTCGTAGTAACTGGCCTCCATCTTCTGTGAATGAGAAAGGCAGTTGCCTTCAGGTTGACTTGACTTCTAGTGGTGTCCAAAGCAAGTACTTCTAGGCCCAAGTAGACATTGTTTTTTGGAAAGAGAACATGGTAACTCAGTCTAGATAAAGAGTGAGCCCCTAGCCATGATCAGCCTCTCCCAAGGAAGCCACATGATGGAAGAGGAAGCACTCCTCCTCCGCTGTCATCTGAGGGTGGGGTGGGGACAGGCTTGCCCACTGCAGTCCTGAGAGGCTGCTCTGAGTGTCCTTCCCAGTGGGTGGTCATGGACCCACAGAGACCCAGGCTTCCTGCACTTTCAGTGGCACAAGTTTAACATGGACTTTTTTTTCCTCCAGGAATTTCTGGTTTTGACTGATATTCACTACACCAATTGACCCCTGGCTAGTGTTGCTTAAAGGTGGCTAACAGCAATTCTCAGCACCATTTCACATCAGTCCAACTGCATTGCTCTTGTTCATCTATTATCTGACTAAAGATTGTCAGTGAGGAAGTGAGGAAGCACTCAATTGCCAGCATCACTGGTACTGGTTTCAGTTTAGGACATTTTAAAGTTTAAAAGTTAAACTAAAATCCATGATGTCTGGCATTACCAAGGTCAGGAAGTTTTTAAGTCTTGGCTGACCTGGCTTCACATTCAGAAAAGCTCACTGAACTTTGGGAAGATAGCTCTAATGCATTCAATCAAGCCAGCCTGCCAGGAAGCAGAGGCCTTCAAGGCCCAGTCAAGAAGCCACTGCTAGAGAACCACACAGCAGAGCTAGTCACACTGACAAAGGTGCAGGACGAGGGTGAGCTGACATTTCTGATCTCTTTTTGCCAACGAACGCAGCAGCTGTTATGATTCAGAACCTGGTACCAACAACCAGGAAAAATTTAGTGGAGACCTTCAAAGTGCATGGGGCAATTCGCTTAATTTTTGAATATTTTGCTTCAAAGAAAGGAGTATTAACAAGGTGGTTGAAAGTGACCACAAGCTAAAACAGGGAAAGATTTTACAAAGTTTTCAGATGAAGCATCCCTGAACAGAATCATTTAAGGAAAAGCTTCTTCATGAAGTTGAGCTGCCACCTTCTCCTTGAAACCCCCATCCTATCCTGCATATGTTGCTTCTCCCTTCCTTGAGCACTAGTGTCCTTGAGTCTGGATCATACGATCATTTATCAAGTGTGTGTTTGGTTCCTCGGCCAGATTGCAAGCACCTTGAAGGCAGGAACCTTGGCTTCTGCTTCTGTACTGTCCATACCACTAAACCAAGGGCTGGGCCCGCAAGTGAATGCTCACTTGGAAACTGATGTGAGGAGAATTCTGTCACCTCCAGTTAGGGTTGGGGTTGGGGAAGGGGCAAAGCTCACCCGAATCCAGCTGAGGCTCTGATAATCGTAGAGGCTCTCATACTGACACGCCAGCTCCCTGCACAGTGGGATCCCAAACTCCCAGCTCTGCATCAGAAATAGGAAGAAGGCTTCAGCACCTCAGGCATCCTTGGAACACCCAAGCCCACATCAAACTCATCAGGGAGTACAACAAAAGGCCTCCTGAAACTCATATGTCACAAAGAATATATGGTCAAAACCAATTTGTAAAGCACAACAGACAGCACTGGACAGCACTGTGGCTTTCTAGCTCAAGGCACAGCTTTCAGATTTCTACTCAAACGTCTCCACTTCCAAGAGGCCTTTCTCTATCTCGTCAATGACAGGCACTTCCCCATCCATTTTCTGTTTCATTACTCTGAAGTTATCTTATTTAAAAAAAGTATTTACTTTTTTGTTGTATTAGTCTCAATTAGATGATAAACTGCAGGACAGTAGGGACTCTGTTTATTTACTTTAGCCTCAGAGCCTAGAACCGTGCCAAGAATGAGCAGGCACTTAATAAAGATTTATTTAATGATTCAGTCAGTGAAGGAAACAATGACTTCTAAATTAAAATCATATAAGCTCAGAAAAAATTATGGAAACCAAGCAAGAAGTGGCTATCCAAGGACTTGGTAGTAGGCCTGCCAGTTTCCCTTACAGAAAGCTTCAAATCTTAAAGTAGGCTTCAGATGATCCTTGCCTAGTCAGGTTCCAGGCTGTTTCTGTGGTATGGCTCTTGTTATGGTGACAGGCCCATCTAACAGGTGCCTGAGGAAGGCTGCAGTGGCCTTCACTAAGGGGCCATATTGTTCATTTCCTTCTCTTTTTAATATAGTGCTTTTTCTCTTGGTTAGATTGGGAATCGTCAGTTTCTTGATATTTTAGCCAGATTCTTCTCGCCAGCTTCTAAGTACTAATTAAAAATTTTTTATTATGAAATTTTAAGCATATAGAAAAATAGAATAGAAGAATGAACCCCTAGGTACTCATTACCCAGCCTTAATAATGACCGACTCATGGCCAGTCCTGTATCATTCATATCCCATCTACTTACTCCTCCCCATAGTTTTTGAAGCAAATCTCAGACATCATAGAATTTCACCCACAAATATTTCAGTATGAATGTTTAAACAATAAGGACTATATTTTTTAAAAATACTATTTGAAATAGCATCCAGGAGAAGGACAATACTATTTCATTTGGGACTGTGTTTCTCAAAAAGAGCATATTATTTCTATCCTTTAAAGAAATTAATGCCATATGGATTGAAACTGAACCACTAATAAGATTGAAACAAACCAAAGAGAATTTTAAATAGACCCCGATTCCTTGCCCACTACAATGCCTCTGCCTCCGCAAGCTAGAAAGCCTCTTACATCTCCATATGAAAGCTTTCAAAGGGGCACACATCAGTCCTCTCCCTGGCTCCAAGAGCTGCTAGGGTAGGTTTAAGCCAAGGGCCCACAACAGGGCCTGCCTGGCAGGCAGCTGGCTAAGCAGCTGAGCAGTATGCAGACTTCTGGCTAGCCTGACAAGAGCACCCCACGGAGAACTACTCATTTAGGTGATGAGAGCCCCATGTATGGCTAAAGGCACTCTGCCTGCTGACAGTAGCTCCCAGTAAAGCAGGTCTTCTCCCCTATTGGGATCAATGCTCATCTGCCTTGCTGTCATCTCTGCCCTAATTTGTAACCCCGCTGCTCCAAGCCCTCCCCCAACCCCACACTTATCTTTATAGTGAGCCGGGACTAAGAGTTTTAAGACCCTCTGCCAGCCTTGAGAGGTTGTGTTGGAACACTGGTGGGCTGGGGGCTTTGAGAGCTGCCTCTGAACACTGGCAGGAAATGTGCTGCAGGCACAGTGCATCCCCATCTACACGTTTTCGCTTGTTTTCCTTCCTTCTGGCAGGAGGCAAAACAACTCTAAAACCCCTTACCAGTGTATGAAATCTAATCACTTCTACCAGCTCTGGCAGATGTGTGCTTTTACAAATCCTAGTTGCTCTCTGACAGGGATGGCACAAAAGTTGCAATGACTTAGGCCTCACTTTAATCAAACTGGAAAGGAAGGCAAAGGCCTGGGACTCAAGACTAGCAGTCTTTGTACTTCTGTTTACATACAACATATTAGAAGCAACAGACTCATCATTCCCTCAAAGGAGTATGGGCAATTGCATCCCACACTCCAAGCAGGAAGAGCCCAAGCTTACCCCCACAGAGAAGGCTGGTCTAGTCCTAATGGTCTGTGTCCTAGATACACGGCGGCCAGAGGACTCTGTCCAGCTTCCCTTCCTGTCTGATCCCTCTGCCCTGTGATGAAGGACCAGCTCCCATCTTCACACCTCCCCTTCCTTCTTTCAACTCCCACTCTGCCACACCCTATCCCTTTGAAGTGCCTGTCTCCTTGTTGGCCTGAGAGAGCTGACTTTCCGTGGACCGAAGCCTAGTTTACCTTCGAGCAGTTTCCTAGGTTAACCACCTCACCATTGGAGAGAATGGCTCAGGGTTAGGCTATGGCAATGAGTTGAACTTCTGACTCAGTCCTTCTGGGTACTCAGGAAATAAACATGGGACCAAAGGAGATTAGGTTGTCTAAGAAGATAACAGAGAGGCTGGGAGTGTGTGGAAGAAACTTTAGGAGGGCCTGGCTTGTGAGGCAGGGTGTGCTGGCAGTGCTAGAACCCCTTTATCTGCCCCCTCCCTGGAGCCTTCTCCTTTTCCTGCCCTCCTCCTGCTGCCAAAGTAGCTTTTCTCCGGGTGTCAAGAACCCTACAGGAGCACTTTTCCTGTAGCAGCCAGGTTTTGCTTTTCTGGAGCCATTAAAAAGAACTCTGAATGCTTTCAAGAATTGGTTAGCCCTACTCACTGGGTTCCATCAGGTACTGAGGCACAGAAATAGAAAGTGGGACCTTCTGTATGAGCCCAAGAGAATGAATCTGATAAACATCCCTTTGAGAATGAGCTCAGGAAATGGCTCACTGAGTGGTCTGTACTCAGCACAGAACCTGTTCTCTCAGCAATTCACAGCAAAGGCAGGGTTGCTAGAAGAAGTGGGAGATCCCTGAGGAGATGACCTATGGAGCCTCCCAATCCTTCTTTCCTTCCTGCTCATCCACAATACTCAGGCAGGTTTTGCATTTCATTTCCTTGTCCATACTAAACCAGATTTTCTAAATACTACTGTAGCGTGGGATGAAGAGGGGGCCATTAATGCTTACATGTCCCACTGGTAGTCTCAATCAGATTAGGATAACACTCCACTCTGCACTCTGTGCCCATGGAAAAAGAGAACTAATACACTAAAAGCACTCATGCTCTACCAAGCTCTACCAGGCCTGTGCCATTCCCCCTGAGCTGGGAGTGCTTGCTGGGTATGTGGGTTAAGTTGCAGCTCCAAGTGGCCCAGGTGCCAGGAAGATAGCCCTAAAAGAGTGCTGCCAGGGGGCCCTAAGTCCAGCCCTGGACCAGAAAGGAGAGGGGCCTTTGGGCCAGCACTGTGGATTAGTCACACGTGGCTGGCTGAGAGCTGAGCATGGGCCTCCTTTCTGGGCTAGGTTACACAAGAGCTCCTGGGGTTTTGGAAAGGTTCTTGCTTGCAAGTGCATTCCCCACATGGGTCAACGTTTCTGGCAAATACAAAAGCCTCTTATGTTATGTAAAACTGATGAATGTTTTCTGATTTGTGGGCAAAAATCATTAACATTTAAACCTTTCTTTTTTATGGTGAAAAAACTCATTTTTAAAAACCAATTTCTATTTGAGTCAGGGACTCAGCCACTACAATTCCCCAGATGATCCTAGTTCAGCTTTTGAAAACAAGCTCAAAGCTGAGTAATGAAAGAACAGCCTCAACAAGTTACACAATCTCAGCCTTTCCAGTGTATGGCCCATACTCAAAAGTAGGTGGTGAGGGGGCCCCACAAGGAGCTCCCCTAGAGATGGGAACAGGATGGCCAAGAAGCCCCAAGGAAGTCTGAACCAATGCTGACAATGCCTGCCAATCCTACAGAATTGAGTTTTATGGAGAATAACCCCAATGAGAGAAGCCCAGGCTGTGCTATGAGGAAGGGAAATTCAAGGCAAGAACACGTCCCAGTAAGAGGCAGTATAGGCCTCCTTTGGTTATGGCTAAAATCCATTCATTTTTTCTATGGCAGATTAGAAAGCCACATCAATTCTTTAAGTAAGTCTAATAAATACAAGTGGGGGCCCAAAAGCCTCTGCTGTAGTAGCACTAGCATTTATAGATGTGCAAAGCTGGTATGTGGGGTTGTCTCTTAACCCCTAATCTGGAATTGGCTTTCAAGCCACAGAATTAAGCTGTTATTTTTTTTCCTCAGAGAAAATCATGCTGCCTCCAAATCTGATGCACACACAGGCATCCACCCACTCACCATTCCACACACCACCCTCTGCAGCTGCTGCCATCCCTACAGTGTTGAGATGCCATGCATTACAGCGGAAGCTGAGGGGCTGAAAGACTTGCCTAATGATACCTACCTTGCCTTTGTTGAAGTAGTGGATGATCTTGCGGCACAGTCCCTCCTTCCGCTGCCACTCTGTCTGAGATGGGTAGTGGAGGAATTCCCGCAGTGGCCGTTCCTCCCACTGCAGCAGCTCACAGTAGAGGAGAAGAGTGAATGCAGCCTCTGTGGGGGGAGGCAATATAGAGGTCCAGGGGCTTCTTATCAGGGGTCCAGGAGCAGCCTGGTGCAGGGGACTGGGCTAAGCAGTATGCCAGGGCAAGGCATGTGCAACCCAGGTCTGGGACACTGGATACCAAAAGTGAGATAGAGGGGCTGCCCAGACAGCCAATAACTGGTGACCACAGCATGAAGGAACAAAAAATCCTAGTAGACACCTTCCTCCCACAGCCTGGTCATCTGTTCTGGGCTCCACATAAAGTATGGCCCAGCTACCTGAGAGTCTGCACAGGTTGCCTTGCTTTGGGAGACACACACATATCAGAGAGAGCTCTTGGGCTCCTTTTTACTCACCTGACTAGAGCTTCCTTTCTAAGCTTATCAGAAGTGGTTCTCAGGGGTGAGCACTGATCAAGGCTTCTCTTAGCCCTCCCTAAGCCAGCCTCAATGCCTCCAGCTCCATTTTCTTTCCTTAGCATGAGCCTGGGAATGACCTTTTCTCTTCTTCTCTATTGTTTCTAATAGGACCAGAGAGAGAGTGTGAATGGTGGTAACTGAGTGATGGGCCTGGAGCCAGAAGCTCTATTCCTGGAGGTTGATTCTGGACCCAGGGCAAAGGCCCAGTGACACCTTACCCTACATGTGGAACAGTTAGAGAGGGTTATATAAGACAACAGTAGCTCAATACTGTGGCTTCCTAAATTCCAAGGAATGAGTCACACTGAATTACAGCCACTGCTTAGGATCCTCATTACACAGTCTGTTCTTTCCTGTTCTATTTGCTCATTTTTAGTGGGCATCTCCTACTGGCAAGTTAATTAGTTCTAGTTCTTGCCCAACTTTCAAGGCCCTACTCAAGTCTGCTCCCCATGACCATAAATAATTTTATTTCTAATTTTTTTGTGACCCACTTCCAGTTTTAGCTAGGCCCACTTGCCTGCAGACACTCTCTAGTCTCCTCCCCATCCTTGCCTCTCTGCCTGTGCTCTGGCCACTGGATCCTCCTGCCCAGGGATGCACACACCTTCTCACTGGATCCAGGAAGGCTTTCCTCTCTGAAGACAAGCCCTTGAGGCACTCAGGGCCTCCCTCTTGAGCTTAGAAAGCCATATGAAAGCTTTTCCTTCCCTGCCTATATTCTTTTCAGACGTCATTCCCGAGGTCACCAGAGACAAGGCTCAGCACTCTCTCTGTCTAAATTCCTGACCTAGCCTCTCAGTCGTGGCTCAGTTCTCCAGAAGTTTAGTATATGCCTCTACTGATACGTGGAATTTATCACAGTCTGTCACTTTGCTGCTGTCTCTGAGGGTTGCTGGGATCATGGCTGGAAGTGGACGTGGAGAATGGCAAATTCAGCCCAGTCATTTCAAATTTAATTCTTGCCAAGCTGTGTTGTCAGAAAAGGTGGCATCTATGCCAAACACTCTCTAACATCTAGAGATAAGGAAGGAAGATTCTGTGTTTCTAGAAATCCATCTAATTCTAGTAATGTTTGTGGACAAGAATAGCTTGAATTTCCTGGTCTATCACACAAATTTAAGTCCTATGGCCCAAGAGCTAAGATGTAGTAGCTGGTCACCACAGTGAAGAAGGTGGCTATTTTGGGGGACCTATGGCACAAGGTTATCAAGCAGGACATACATGCATGCACATACCCTCCTGACTCAGAGTGGTGCTCTGTAAACAGAGTGTAACAGGAACATTGAAATGTTTTTAAGTTTGCTCTATTAGAAAAGGCCTTAGTAAGGGTTTAAATTGTAGATAAAATGAAAGGGGCCGACAGAAAGTCAGATGAACACTTTCCATACTCTCCAGTGGGAGCTCAATGTGGGGCCACTGTGCCTTTGCAGGGGAAGAGCCTAGACTGCAAGGGAGGTCTGCCAGCGAGTTCTAGAAGTCCCAGGGTTAGGCATATGTTCCTGTGTTATGACCTGACTTAGCTCTAGCTGTGAAGGTCCTAAGAAAGGCTCTGGTCATGAGGAATGACAGTGAGCTCAGGATGCTCTGAACCTGGCACACCAGAATTTGGAAGTCACCTTTGAGGCCTCAGATGGGAATGGATAGGAGGCAAGGAGAGTGTTACAGCCTCAGGCAGCAAAGGACATGGCACAAAGGCACAAGAGGAAGTTCGGCCTGCTTTCTCTCCACCATATGTTACAAAGGAGTTGAGGGAAAGGAGTGAATTGAGGGGGCAGCAAGGGTCCCAATACTCTGCTAAGATATGGCAGGCACCAGCCCAGAGCATTTGTCTGTCAGCTGTGCATATTTGTCCAGTCTGTCCTCACTGGGAGGCATGGCTCTCTGCTTCCCACTCACCTGTGTAGTTTTCGGCCTGCAAATGCATGTCACAAAGCTTATGGATGTAGCGGATATACATCTCTTCTTTGTTAATCTCAGATTTGTAAAAGTTCTGTAAGAGAGAACGAAATACACATAAAGATGAGAGAGGGTGCCACCTCTGGAGGCCATATCTGAGCTCCAGGCAGCTGGCCAAAGCCCTGGTTATGCTTGGCAGGAGGGAGAGGGCAAGCCATGGAGGCAGTCAGCACCAGAAAGAGAAGGGACCAGCCAGTGGCACACCTGCTGTGAGTGGAACCACTAGCAGATATGAAGGAGCCCTAAGTAGTGAGAAAGAGGAAGAGCACCAGGGCAGAATGGGGATCAGAGAAGACTGGGAATTAGGGTATGTCACAGTTTGTGGGACCTTGCCAAGAGGCCAGGCTAGAGCTCTGTCCAAAGAGAAGCTCATTTCATTCCTTTCCCAAGTGGGAATGTGACTGATGAGGTGCAGGTCTCCAAGAAACCAGTAACAGAGCTGATGCCCTGACTCAAACTCTTAGGCTTACAGCCATGTATTGTAGGAATGCCAAGCCAATCACAGTGCAGGACAGAAACCATGCTACTAGGCAGACAGGAAGAAGAGCCCATGTCCTCACCATCAGGTTAACAGTGCAGCCGATCTTCTTATTCTCTGTTTCCTCTCCTTTCATGCAATCCCTGGAAGGGAAAGCACAGATGAGTGTTCCATGGCACAAAGTGGTGCCTCTGGGACAAGACACAGAACTGCAGTGTCAATGAGGCATAAGTATGACCAAACCCAAGATTAGGATGTTCTCCAACAGGAAGGGATTCCACAGATGAGGACTGTACTGTGAGCTCCTTCTGAGCTTTGGACCCACTCCTAGGATTCAAAGATCTCTGTTCAACTCAACCCCTTGTTCTGGTGGCAGAGTGTAGAGCTACATCAGGGTACTAAGTTATACCTACCATTCTCCTCAGCACAGAAGAGTGTGTCAGTAAAGTAGAAGGTTCACGCCTCAAGTTCCCAAAAGAAGAGGCACAGAGCTTTCCTTAAAGGGTAACTTTCATTTTGTAGGATAGTGCTGAATATAAGCCAAGATGCTCCACTCCAGGGATCTAGCTTGGCACCCTTTGACCAGAGCAACCATGGCATTGGCTGCCACATTCACCACCTCATTGGCTGTTCTCCGTATGGTCTTCTTCCTGTGCACTAGGTTTTGGAACCCCCTCCAACTAGAAGCAGCGGGTTTGGAGCTTCTTTCTGATCTAGGGGTAGCTTCACCCAGGGCTTAGCTGCATTCATGCTGAGCAGAGTTGGGTATGGGGGGGTCAGGGCTGGCCTGTGAGACACAGAACAATGGGAACACTGAGAATGGATCCTTCCCAAGGGAGAGAGGGGACTGGTCAAAGCCAAGCTTCTCTGGGAAGAGCAGAGGCCTGACACAAGGTGATGAAGAAGAATGAGAACCAGACTTGTAAATCTAGCAAGAAGCCTCCTGTACACATAGCCAGCCAGAGTCCCGTCTGAATGCTGTGTCTCCTTCTGTGGCACTGCACAGTGCTCTGGAGAAGATATAGTTCCTCCTGTAGCTGTGTGTTAGCAGATTTTGGGAAAGGCTGCATAAGGGGAGTTTATGGACCACTAGGGTCAGGTGGAGAATGTGCCTTGGCTTTGCTCCACTAACAGGCACAGGGCACACTGAAGAACATCACAGCTGGGAGTCAGGAGACCTAGTCCAAGTCACTGAGCCTCTGGATGGTCATTTGACAAACTCAGTTATCCTCACCTTCCCAGCTGCATCCCAGCACATAAAAGGATGACTTCTTTGAGATGATTCTTTGAAAGAAAGGGATACTGAAAATCCACACCACTCTCATGGTATTCTGCAAAGCCAAGTGTCCTTCCTCCTTTGGAGGGCTCCTGTCAGAGCTGGCAGCTCTGTGGGGTTTGGAACCAAGGCCCTCCTCTCTAGGTGTGCCCTATCAGCACATTTATCCCATAAAGCATCTGGTTCCTTAGTAGCCAGACATGGGTGTGCTGAACATGGCACTGCAGAACCTGTCATTTAAGTGCTAAGAGGGACAGGAAACTGCCGTGACTTTTCAAGAGGAGTCTTCAAGAGGAGTGAACCTAAGGGCCAGATGGCCAACTTGTTCCAAGCAACCCACGAAGTGGCAGGAGGCACCTGTCCCTCCAATAAGTTGGAGGGTAGTGAGATCTCACCTAGCTACTTTGGCATTTAATGTTTTCTTTCTAGAAAGCATCAGAAACATTTCTCAGGCGTCACCTTCTGTTTGGCCATAGCTAGAACTTCACAGCCAAATCAATTTAACAGAAAAGCAGTGGCCACAACCCTGTGATGCCAGGGGCATTCCAACACACCTTTGTGCTCCACGACTGCTTCTCCCATGCACTGCTAACAGCAGACTCTTCTTTGCTGTGTGGCTACTCAAGAGAGGACACCTTTTAAAGCCTCTGACTTGGGTGCAACCATTGCTCCCTCTTTCACTCTTTCTCTGACAGATGAACAGGGAAAACACTCCTGAAAGAGGCTTCTGAAGCTTTCTGGGTGTGGCTATGTGCAGCGAGTGGTGGTGGCCTAGACCAGCGGCCAGGCAGCCCTCAGTGAGACTGGAGGGGCCTGGGAAAGAAAGGCTCCATAACCTCCAGTTGCCTCTTCCAGGTGGAGGTTCCACTTAGAGCCCCAAGGGCTTGGCCACCCTAACTCTGACCCTGTCTGTTCCAGGGCACTAAGAAAACCCTCCTAGGGCTTTGCTTTCTAACCTGGGAAATATAGTTGCTACCACTGAGCATCTTTATATCTGATACACAGTGTCTGGGATTCACACAAAAGTTGAAGACATTAACACAGAAGTTGAAGAGGTACTCCTCTGAGTACCTAAGGTTTGAGCTAGTCTAAAATTGAGTCTCACACTCAAGAGGCTTAGGTCATTCTGGAGTACAAACTATTGATTATTTGTTTAATCAATGTATATATTTTTTAGCTTTCAAGAACTATTTTCTTAGTAAGTTCTTGTTCAACTAAACTGCACTGGGGTAGAAGAAGAGACTTTCTTGGTTCCTTCACGGTCTTCCCAGTAAGTTCATCCATTCAATCAAGACGTATTGCACACCTGCCAGGGGATCATCAAGGCTCCATGCAGGGGCACAGGGAGATAAGGACAAGGTCCCTGTCCTCAAGGAGCTGGCTTTCCTCTGTTGGATGAATCAGAAAGGTGACAAATGATCGCCATCAGTGTGACTCCCGCTCTGCAAGAAGCACGCACAGAGAGCCAGGTAAGCTGCTGGCTGGGAAAGCCTCCTTGATGGGGGTTGGTTGGAAGGTCACAGCATGTACAGAAGTCTGAAGGGAAGGATGTGAGTGGCGACAACATAGATGAGGAGATAGGGCATGGTTCTTGAGTCAGATAGATCTGGTTTCAAATTCTGGCAATGGCACTTCTGCCAATGGTATTTCCTCATTGGTAAAAACAAGGACAATCTTTCAGGGCTGCTTATGAGACTAGAGACAATGTTTGTAAAGCACAAAGCACATGGTATATTTTTAACAAATGAAAGCTATCATAAACATCATGCTTTTTCTTTTTATGCTAACAAGAAGCAGCACTGGGAGGTTGGGATACAGGGCATGGGTATTGGGGATTGGCAGGAGATAGGGCAGGAGAGGTGGGCAAAGGCCAGTTTATGAAGGGCCTCTGATGACACGTGAAAGAGTCTGAACTTTGTTTTGTAGGAACCATCATGGAGACAAGAAATGGAGGAGAAAGAAATTGGTTTTGGCCATGAGTTTGAGTTACTTATGAAAGGTAGGTAGAGAAATCAAACAGGTAGCTGGAACTAGGCCTTGGAGCCTAAGAAATTAATTTCCACTCTTTCTAGTAGGCCACAGCAAATAGGGCTGACCTTTAGTAAATGTTGTAGTGAGGGAGAGGTACAGAGTTTTGCCCACCCCTCTTCCTTGTCTGATGGCAGGTGCAGGAGAGGCTAGGAATATGATATGAATAAAAGAGCCCCCTCTTCTAAAAGGGACCCCCAAAGGCTATCTGTGCCCTAATAAGGCCCAAGAAAAATGGGCTCACACAAGTGCAAGTGTGCTACAGGAAGAGGGGATGCTCAAGACGCGAGCACATTTCTCAGGAATTCTATTTCCATATCAAGGCCAGTGCATTGGACACCTAAGTCTTCTGCATAGCAGATGTCTTGGCAAAGCAGCACCTTCTATTCAGCAGCAATTGGAGGTGACCTAACCTCTCTCATTTCCTGATCCATGGGTTGAAAATGCTCCCCCTTGGCATTTGCATATCTTGTAGCACAGAGAAGAAAACTATTGCTTGGGGCTGGGTTTTCTTTATCATTCCTCTTCATTCCATATTATCTTCCTCTAGGCTCCCAAAAGGCACACTTAGCCACCACCTGAACTCTGATGAGAGAATAATTAAGGATGCTGTGGTAGCTTCATTGTCACTTTTGGACTAATTCAGAAATAGTGATAGGACTGAAAAGGCAGGCTTTCATGAAAAAACTAATTTCACATGATCTATAGGACTGAACATAGCATAAAGATCTCTGAGCTCACAGGCTGCTTCCTCCACTCTTCTCACGACCAGGACCAAGGGACAGAAATAAACAGACTTTAGGCAAAGAATGGAGGCATGGAAAAGTGGGGTCTCTGGTCCCTGGGAAAGCCAACTGAAAGTCCTCCTGGGTCACACTTCTGTACCAAGAGACATTTCCCTGACTATCTACCATATGGCTCTGAGGAAGGCCTGCACTAAGGACCTACACTTGGTTCCATGCTTTGCTCTGGAGACAGCCTTTCTCTTCCCCCCTGCTGTGCCCATTCCTCTCAGCCCTGACCTTTCTGGATGGAAAGCCAGATGGCTGCATGTCCCTGGGATGCCTCCTGGGTACATATGCCCACATATCAGGGGGATCCCAGGAAGCCCTGGTTTACCCCTGGCAGAAGGCTCTCTCCCCTCTCTCTCTTTGGTCATAAGTAGACTCCTAATGACTAGTGATGGCACCCAACACCAGAATAGTCCTCCCCCTGAAAGGCACATCGTCTCAGTTTTAAGGTCAAGGGATGTCCTTGCTGGGGAGAGTATCCTGACCAGAGATGAGGTCAGGCAGGTGTTTGAGTAGATACCTGTAGTCAAGAAGGCGTTCCATGAGGCGGGTAACTGAGGTCACAAAGGAAATGCCGGTCTCACGCCATGTTTCTTGTTCAACCTTCTCCAGCAGACTATTGGTGAAAAGATGAAGGAAGCAAACACAATATACAATTCATGAGCCTTCCCTGGCCATAAAAGTGAGGTTCCAGAGCCCATGGGGCCTGTGATGGATCTGGAGATGGCAGACTTACCACCCTTCAGTCTTACCTGGGGTAGGGCCCAAACAGCTGGGTTCTACTCCATGCAGCAGAAAGCAAAGACAAGGCAATTACTGAACTGGCAACAACAAATGAGCATATCTTCCATTTTCCTGTACAAGTTCCTAAGGATGCCATTGAACTGAGGGAGAGGTTTCAAAGCCCCAGCCCCCTTATCTGTACACAGTAAGGTCTGTTCCAAAAAGGCAGCTGATTAAGAGCCCACTGAGGGTTGGCTCTGGCTTTGCCAATTGGCTCACTGCCTCTATCATTTCTTAGAGCCACCCTCAAGCATATACATCAACTTTTTCACGTAAACCAAAGGAAAGATTCCCACTAGTCTCGAGGGCCCAACATGAGGGACAGTGAGTGAATCCTGGAACTACACACAGCCATCTCCACTTTCAGGAGATGCTCCCATGCAAAATGTGCCAGAGACAAGAGCTAAATGCCCAGGTCCTTTTCTCACTCACCAGCCCCATGCTCCTGGTACCTCAGGGCAGCCTCTGGCTTCTCCAAAGAGCCTGGCTTCTGACATCCTCTGCTTTCCTACAGGTCTCTCCTAGGGAACGATGACCTGACTCCTTCTGCTTGCTCCAGTGATAAGCCCAGGTCCAGGTCTCACTCTTGATTTCTTTCCACACTGTCCCTAGCTCCAGCTAGGGGGCCCAGTACTGAGGACTCACACCCACAGTCTGGCTGCTGTTAATGCTGCTATGACAATGACTCCCTTCCCTGCACAGAGCATCCACCCTGAGCCGAGCCTTCTGGGAAAGTGAGAGTTTGCCATGTGATCCATATTAGTAGAGAGAGAAGGCAGGACCATTGGCTCTGGCCCCTAAGCTACGTGGATAAAGCCACAGCGTCAACATTTCTCAAACTGTGTTCTACAGAGCTCTGCTGTCCTGGAGGACAGGGAGAAGTGTTCTGTGAGCAAATAAGCATGGGAAATACTGGTCACTACACCCTCCTTTTGGAGATTTTTCACATCTTTGTGCACATTAAAGGCTTTGAGAAAGCCTACAATACAGAGGCCTATTCAATTTTGTTTGAGTATTTTCTAAACTGATTAGCCCATGATCCACTTGTTATTTTTTTTCTAGCATACATACAAATATCTTCTCCAAAACACAAATTTGGAAGTGCTGTTCCATGGATATCAGTGGCTTTCAGTTCTCAGACATGATTTTAGAAATTCATGAAAGACTATTTGGTCAGGTAATCAGTAATTGCAAGTTATTTCTGTGCTTTTTCCTTTGTAGTAAAGTCATCTATTAGTAGCTTAGGAATAGATTTCTCTGCCTTATTTCCCAGTTAGAAACAATTCAACTAAAAGAGAAATGCTAAAGTATGGATTAATTTTCACAAATTATAATTATTTAAGTTTCAAATAAATTCATATTTATTGCATGACTTATCAGGGAACAAAGTGGGCATGTTATAGCAGAGAGAAATTCCCCTCTCTTGAAATCAGAACATCTGAGTGCTCCGCCAAGAACTTCTTCTTACTGGTCATGCAATCTAAGGCATGCTAACACTTCTCTGAGCTGAGTTTCATCACCTCTATTCATTGGGATAACATCTGCCTTGCCCACCTCAGGGGTGTATTGTGAGGATTAAATAAGAAATGTGAACACATTTTGTACACTGTAAAGTTCTAAGCAAATGTACAGTATTATTATTGGAAAAATACATCACACGTTTGTCTTCAAAATGGCACTAAAACAAAATCTCAAAGCTGGAAATAATGAGTGAGATGGGAGGGGACTCTAGAGCTGTAACAGTCTCAAGATTTTGTTTTTTAGGAAGATTAAATACCCAACATCGCTATCTATCTGGGAAAACCATGGTTCCTCTGAGTCCTTCCTTTGGACTTAGCCCTATAAGGTCTCTTGGCTTCCATCAACTCAAGACAGACTCCACAAATGGTGGACCTGGGAGAACCTTTGATGCCATTCATTCAATCACCCTGTCTCACAAACAGGGAAACTGGCCTGGAGAGGGAGTATGACTTGTCAAGTCACAAGATGCATGGTAGTGTTTTTCAAGCTGATTGCATGATCTTACAAAGCAGAGATTTAACTTTTTTTCCCTCAGAAATGCCAGCACTGAGCCTTCACTGAGTACCCATGAGCTGTTGCCCAAATGGAAACAGTGCATGCTATGAAGACATGCGATGACCCTTTTCCTATCAGGAAATCTAGGAGCTCGGAGTTATCACTTGTCTCGACCTGTTCAGTCAACTATGGCAATCCCTGAGAGAGCTTGTGTCATGAGGCCACTTTCTTACTGACAGAAGGTGAACACTGCTACTACCAGAAACCACCTGGGTCTCTCTTGTTACCCACCCTCTGAAGCCTACCCAGCATGGGCTGCACCCCTACCCTTCGTTAGCCCACTTCACCCCCTCCCCCAACATGGGGTGCCTGGGGCTGAAGCAGCTTACAGTAGGCCGAAGAGCTCCCTGTAGCTCTCGTCGCCTTTCCCTTCTGACACCATGCTGTCCAGCTTGTCAATCAGCTCGGCCTCCACCTAGAGGGAAGCAGAGACTTTGTAAACCCGAGCTGACCTCAGAGGAAGGATGGGATATCCAGCCCCTGTGATAGGTGAGGATGGTGGGGAACTGCTTCCTGATTTTGTCCTTGTACCAAACAAATCCCAGGGAAGGCAGGATCTCATCTACAGCACCAAGAAACCACCCTGCCTCCCCCAGTCAGAAAGGCCTCCCATTGTAGTCGTTGAAGTATGAGTTGGGACTTAAAAGTCTCAGATACTGTTTTCTTAGTCTAAGGGCAAAAAGCAAGGATTCCCTGGAGAGAAAAGTATTTTGGATTCAAAAGAGACTTTTGTTAAGTATTTTTCTTTCTTAAAAATGTTCATTCAAAAAAATTTGTATGTATAAAATACATTTGGTTAGAACTTTACCCTCTTGTCAGCCAGTCGCAAAGCAAGCTTGCTGGGGGACTGGTCCTCACACTAACAGCTGGCATTAGGCTGGGTTGTGTAAGATGTGAGTGTTTCCTTCTGAGATTCTCCTTCAGGATAAAAGGCTCCACTGTTTGTCCCCACAGGACCTAAAGCCCTTGGGGCTGCTGTCCCTGCCACTGCCTCATCACTGGGGCCCCCTGCATTTGTTATTGGATTACTAAACTGTGAGGCACCAATATTGCATTTGTTCTTATACTGATCAGGAAGGCATTCAGCAATGCTCAGCCATTTTCTAATAGGCCTCACTGGATTTACTTGAGGTGAGAAATTAGTTGCAAGTGATATGAGATAAAGTTTTTTAAGTCATTCCTTTGCCTTAGAAATGTGGTATTGTAGTATCATTTATATGGATTTCATATAAACAAAAAATGTCATGACTGCATTTAATAATGAACTAAAACAGAAGCATTTTCTTATTCCACATAGGGCCAAAGAGTCCTAAGGCGATGAAGTAATAAAAGAATAATTGAATTAGGAAATTCATTGAAGGCAATTATGGTTTCTGAAATCCCATCAGCATAAAATGAGAATGGATGAATAAATATGGCCCTTTTTATAGTGGTCTGCTACATGGCCAGGATGGGGACTGTTGTATATTTATGTTTGGCCTGACGAATCAGCTGCTTGAATATACATTTCAGAGGAAACAGGAAGTCTGACACTAGGGGTCCTTAGGGATCGATGTCATCCAGCTCTCTCTGCATAGAGAAGAGGCATCAGCAGGGACTTGCCTAGAGTCAAGTAAAGTCACGCAGAGTTGGGCTTAGAAGCCAAGGTGTTTCATTCCCAATCCAAAGCTTGTCTTGTCTCACCAGGCCAATCAGCTGGCCACAAGCCTCCCAAGGGGAAAAGGGTCTGTTTATAACAAGTTTCTTCGTTTGTGAAATGGTAATGGTGGTTAACATTCCTCTTCAGCGTCACCGTGCCCTAGGTCTTGGGAAGTGCTCAATGAATGGTAGTTTTTATTTTCATCTCTAGGAACCCACCATGTCTCAGGCATCGTGTTGGGTTCTAAGAAATAAAAGTACAAGAAATAATCTTTGTTCCCAATAGTTCACCATCTGGTATAGGAGGCAAGGACAACAGCTGACACAGCTCAGGGTGGTCAGTGCTTGGAAGGGGCACACACAGAAAGGGTGGCCTGAGGACTGAGAAGTCCACAGACAACAGAGTTTCGAGAAATAGTGTCATAAAAATTTAAAACATGTTTTTGGTCTTTGACCCAGAAATTACAGGTGAGAAATTTACCTAAGGAAAAAATTAGGAATGTATATGTTTTTTGCAATGTTAACAAAATTCTGAATGAACCTAAGTTTCTAAAACTAGGAGCCTGACTAAATATATTGTGGTCCAGCCATGCAATGGAATACCATGTAGCCTCTAAACTGACAGTGTAGTGCAGAGAAGCATTAACTAACAAAAAGAGATAGGTATGACATGGTGCCACTAAAAAAGGGAGATTAAAAACCAATATACACAATGATTCTGAAAAATCAATATATACAATGATTCCATTTTTTAACTTTAAAAACTATGTATTGGAAAAAAAAAAAGTCTAAAAAAGATATACCCTGCCCTCCTCCTCCACAAGTTACTAGTAACAGTAGAATTATGAGTTAAATTTTTTCATTATAGCTTATTTTCATTTTTAATCTTTCTATATTAAATAAGTACATTTTTTTATAATTAGAAGAAGTATTTTTAGTAGGTAGTAAGAAGTAGGGGAGTGGTTAACAGAGCCAAAGCTGTGGAAAGCACACTTGGAATCAAGACCAAAAAGTCATTGGATTTCAGTGATTAGAAGATTATAGGTGACCTTCAAGAGAATAGTTTCCACAAAAGCGGGTGCGCAATATACTCTAGATTGAAATAGGATATTTCAGGAGGGTGGGAAGTGGAAATGTGGGGGTTAGAAGAGAAGACCACTCTTCTAAAGTATTTGATGGCAAAAGGAAGCAGCAGCAAGATTTTTCAAACCAAGGACAGCAAGGTTTACATGGCTTGCTGGATATCAATTACTCATGACAGTCTTATTGGAGGAAAGAACACAGCTCATCAGCTGAGTCTTGAAGTGTGAGACAAACGAACTCCAACCTAGTCTTCCATAAAGCTAACCTTCTTTATTCAGTGTTAGTGATGGTGTGATGAAGCCCAGCCCCTCTCTTAGTAGACTCAGATGACACATGGTGCGGTTCTGCAATGTCATCTACTTCTTAGTAACTGGGTTCTCTCATCAGGCAGTTGTGCATTTTGCAGTTAGAAGGCACAGGCTGTGAGAACATAGAAAAGCAACAGTTCTTTTCTGTTTGAAGTTATTATTTCCTGAAGCTCTGAAGGCATTAGAGCTGCACACTCCAAAAATGTGTTCTTGTCTTAAATACTAATTACCCATGATAAAGAGCATCTATAAAAAAAAAACAAGAGCTAGCATCATATTGAATTGTAAAGCACTGAATGCTTTCCCCTTAGATTAAGAACAAGGCAAGGATGTCCACTCTTATCACTCTTATTTAACATCACATCAGAGGTCCTAGTCAGTGCAATGAGGCAAGAAAAAGAAAGAAGAGGCATACAGATTAGAAAGGAAGAAATAAAATTGTCTCTATTCACAGGTAACTGGATCATCTAAATAGAAAATCCCAAGGAATCTACAAAAAAGCTTTGAAAATAAGTGAGTTTAGCAAGGGTGTAGGATACAAGGTTAACAATATATAAAAACAATTCTGTTTCTATACTAGCAACAAACAACTGGAAAATAAAATTTAAAAGTCAGAATAACTTATGATAGCACCCAAAAGGAAATACCTATAAATCTAACAACATATGTGCACGATCTGTATGCTGAAACTACAAAACATTAATAAAAGAAATCAAAGAATATCTAAATAAATGGAGAGATATACTGTCTTCATGGACTAGAAGTATCATTAAGGTATCAATTCTTCCCAATATGCTCTGTAGATTCAATGCAATCTCAGTCAAAATCCCAGCAGGAATTTTTGTAGATATTGACAGGTTGATTCTGAGATTTACAGGAAAAAGAATTGGAACAGCTAATACAATATTGAAAAAAAAAAGAGCAAAGCTAGAGGATCCACATCACCTAATTCTAAGACTAACTATAAAGCTACCATCATCAAGACAGTGTGGTATTGGTGAAAGATTAGACATGTAGATCAATGGAAAGACTAATGAGTCCACAAAGAGATCCAAATGGTGTTTTTGATAAAGAATAGTCTTTTCAACAAAAAGCGCTGGATATCTATATGCAAAAAAAAGAGCCTTGGGGGCTGGGCCGGTGGCGCAGTGGTTAAGTTCGCACGTTCCGCTTCCCAGTGGCCCAGGGTTCACCGGTTCAGATCCCGGGTGCGGACATGACACTGCTTGGCATGCCATGCTGTGGTAGGCGTCCCACAGATAAAGTAGAGGAAGATGGGCACGATGTTAGCTCAGGGCCAGGCTTCCTCAGCAAAAAGAGGAGGACTGGCAGTAGTTAGCTCAGGGCTAATCTTCCTTAAAAAAAAAAAAAGAGCCTTGACCCATACTTCATACCTTATACAAACATTACCTCAGAATAGATATAGATCTAAATGTAAAATTATAAAACTTCCAGAAGAAACATAAGGGAAAAAGTTTTGTGGTCCTGGGTTAGGCAAAGAGTTCTCAGACACGATCCCCAAAGCATGATTCATATAAGAAAAACATTGATAAATTAGACTGCATAAAAATTAAAAACTTTTGTTCTATGAAAGAGACTGTTTAGTAAACGAAAAGACAAGCTAAAAACTGGGAGAAAATATTTGTAAATCATATATTCAACAAAGGACCTACATCCAGAATATATAAAGAACTCTCAAAACTCAACAATAAGAAAACAAACAACTCAATTAAAAATAAACACAAGTTTCATAGAACTACCATATGATCCAGCTATTCCACTTCTGGATATTTATCCAAAGAATCTGAAGACATTAATTTGAAAAGATATATGCACCCTATGTTCACTGTAGCATTATTTACAATAGCCAAGACATGGAAAAATCCTAAGTGTCCATTGATAGATGAGTGGATAGAGAATATGTGGTATGTATACATACAATGGAATACTACTCAGCCATAAAAAGATGAAATCTTGCTATTTGTGACAATATGGATGGACCTTGAGGGTATTATGCTAAGCAAAATAAGTCTGATGGAGAAAGACAAATACTGTATGATTTCATGCATATGTGAGAGATAGAAAAAAAATAACAAAACAAACACATAGATACAGAAAAAAGACTAGTGATTACCAGAGGGGAAAGGAGGTGGGGGGAAGGCAAAAGGGGTAAAGGGGGACATTTGTATGGTGACAGATGGAAACTAGACTTTTGCTGGTGAACACGATGTAGTCTATACAAAAGTCAAAATACATGTATGTACACCTGAAATTTATATCATGTTATAAACTAAAGTGACCTCAATAAAAAAAATCAAAGAAATAGTAAAGGAAATAGTCAAGAGACAAACACTAAACCCCCCTCCTCCCCAAAACGCAAGTTTTGAAGAATCATTTCACCAAAGAAGATAAAAAGATGGTAAATAAGCACATTAAAAGATGCTCAACAATATTAGTCATTAGGGAAATGGAAATTAAAACCACAATGGTATACAACTATACACCTATCAGAATGGCTAAAATAAACAGAGATATCAAATGCTGGTGAGTATACAGATCAACCAGAACTCTCATATACCATGGCAGCTGGGACTTCAAAATGGTATAGCCACTTTGGAAAAGAGTATGATAGCTTCTTGTAAAGTTAAACATAAATATTTACCACAATACTCAACAATCCTATTCCTAGGTATTTACCCAAGAAAAAATGAAAGTTTATATTCATACGAAAACCTGTAAAGAAATGTTTTTTATCAGATTTATTCATAATCATCAAAAAAGTGAAAACTCAAATGTCTTTCAAATGGTGAATGAAGAAATCGCAACAGAATAGTACTCAGCAATAGAAAAACAGATACACGCATCATGGATGAATCTTGCAAAGGCATTATGCTAAGTGAAAGAAGCTAGTTTCAAAAGGCCACACTCTACATGATTTCAATTACATGACATTCTGGAAAAGGTACACCTATAGTGATGGAGAACAGATCAGTGGTTGCCATAGGTTAAAGGTAGGGGAAGCGTCTGAGTACAAAAGGGCAGCAAGATGAAAGCACAGGAATTTAAAAAGTCTTGACTGCAGCGGTAGTTATATGACTTTCTTTATTTGCCAAAATTCATAGTACTGTAAATCAAAAAGTGAATTTAATTCTTTGTAAGTTTAAAACTAAAAAAAATTTTCAAATTACTGTTTGCCTAGTCTGCTCCTCACTGTTACAGTCACTCACTCTAAGACCACTGGTTTATCCCAGAATCACAAGTTTGGGAGGGAGCTTAGTGGGGAACTGGTACAGTCCCCAAACCAATATGGAAATTTCCCCTAGAGGCCTCCTGGGAGCTTCTACTTGAGAACCACCAGCAAAAAGAAACTCCCCATCTCCCAAAGCAGGCCAGCTTACAGTGAACAGAAAGTTCTTATTGCTGGCAAGTTCTTTCTTTTATTAGCTAAAACCGGCTTCCCTATCACTGAACCCTGGTAGTCCCATATCCTGGAGCTATAGATATAAAGGCAGGGACCATCTCTTATACCATAGGAATGGCAGAAGAATCTCACAGAGGGATAGCCTGAAGCTACTCAGTCAGAAGTCAAGGGCTTATACCTCCTGGACCCACCCCTCTGTGCAGGAATCTGTGGAATTCTGGGCTGCCCTGAGCCATGAAGTCATCCGGTCTGGGCTCCAGCCCTAGAAATGCTTGGACCATGCCTTGGGGATCCTCCAGAGAGGAAGGACAGCACACTCCCAGGGCCTTCTCCTGAGTGAAGCTGGGAGGTTACAGTCTTAGCTATTCTCTCCTTGATCAGAAAGCTCCTTTCACATGATGTTCATTCCTTTCCTCTGATTCTTTTCTGGCTCTAACTTTGTGAAAAAAATCCACAAATCAATTCTGGCCAGCAAGTAAGAGAAAACCCTTGAACAGGATTCAAGATGGCCAAGTCACAGCCCATTCCCACTGGAACCATAGCCTGGCCATCTGCATCACCTGCCTGGACACAAGGGGTCCATTCCAGAGGAGAGCACCCTGAACACTGCCAGGTGTCATCTTACCTGTTTGAAGTTGCCATTTTTCCTCTGCTCCCAGTCCATCATGTCATGAAAGATGGGAATCATGATATTTCGCACTTCTGGCTGTGGGACCAATGTCACGCCCAGAAAAGGACCAATCATTCCCGGAATAAAGTGGATCTTATGTTCACCTGAACAACAAAACCAACAGATATTAATTTATGCTTGCCTTTCTCCTTCCATGGAAGCCTCCAAAATGGGGCCACGGCACGTGTTTTGATCCCTACTGGAAGCATATGAGAACAAAGGAAGCTCTCCCCTACAGTTTTCTGAGATATTCCCTCTCTTGGCTTTTTAGAGTTCATGGATAAAATTGGCCCAGCCCAGTTAAAACAAATGTTCAACAATCACAAACTGCCTTTCCAAAGAATTTACTGTGAGATTCCACAAATTAACTGAAAATCATTCTGAGGTCAAGGAACAGAGTTCACTACTCTAGACAGAATAGGATTTCTGAGTAACCTGTGACAGTTTCAGATAGTCTGTTCAAAGTGTTTATTTATCAAGGAAAATCTATCTATTTATGCTTAAACACAAACCCTATCCCTGGGGTTTCTACCACTAGCTCAGAGGCATTTAAGTGATGGGGATGTTCAGTCCCTGGTCCAGCCACTAGAAGTCTGAAATCCATGGGCCTCTTCATTGTCTACACTCATGTATGCCCAAAAGGCCCTCTCCTGAGTTAGCAGGAGCCTCCTGCACAGCCCTCCTTTGACAGAGCAGCTTAGAGACTCTCTCCGTAACACCTCCCTGCCCCCTGCCCCGTCTTCACATTCCATTTCTGATGGTAGCATTACATCTATTCAGACCAGCTCAGCTCATCCCTCAACTTTCTTAATAAGGCCTTTCCATGGAAGTGGGTGATGTGGGCTTCCCTGTGACTGCATTGCCATCTGGGGCATGTTCCCAGAAGTCAGGGTCAGTCCTGAGGACCCTGGGACAGAAATTTTCTCTTCCTTGCAATGGTGAAACAGAGTGAACCATTTTCCAGAGCTCTGCTTTCAGTCCTTCAGAGACTAAGAAGAAGACAAACTGGGCCTGTATACTGATTGCTACAGCCAAGTAAATCAGTTCTTGAGGAACAGAAAATGCCATTTCCACCAAAAACAATGAGGCAGGAATGGTTTTATCAGACAAATTTGGCATCTTTTTTGATTTCTTTCATTTTGAAAGCCTATTTAAGGAAACAATGTTAGCCCTAAGGCTAATTCTGTATATTCCAATCTTGATAATTGGTACAGTTGCTAGTCCCTTGTGTTCCTGAGAATTTCAGAGTCAGCTTTAAGGTCAAAATCTATACCCAAATTGTGCTAGGTATAGGGAGTAAGAGTACTGAAGCTGGAAAGCCTGCTTGGGGAAATGCATCCCCACTCATCGGCTGGAAGGCCCTAGTGCTTGCTGGCAGGAATGGCTTGTACCATGCCTGCTGCCTCTAGGGTTAGTGACTAGGATAGTCAATGGAGGACTGTAAGATTTTATGACCATCATTCCTAAGGCTTCAGAGCCATGAGCTCAGCTGAAAGCAGACTTCACTAGGAAGAGTAAAAACAGCTTCTCTAGCATCTTGACAGGGCACTCAGAAGCCCAGTTCCAAAGGATGGCCCACCTAGTCACCAGGGCAATCCAAGAATTCTACCAAAACTCTTTTAACAATTTCAGATCCAAAGCAATGGCTATTAGAGAAGCTGTAAAGAGAAGCTGTCGAAAGGAAGCTAAAATCAATCTTACCTAGGGGCTGTAATTCCCCTTTCATACTCAATCTTCATGCAATTGATGTCAGGAACCTGATCTGCATACCTGAATACCAGAGACCCAAGAAGTGTTTCAATCTTTATTAAAATGAATAGCTGCCCTTGCTCATGTGCTGAGTATCTCCAAGATCTAGGCTTTTGAGCCTGCAACATCTGGACTGGGACATGAAGAGCACAGGGGATTTTACAGGCATGAGTTCTCAAACTGGGAAAAACTACTGGAGCCCTCATCTTTTTTTCTCCTTTTGACTTCAGTTCTCAAAAAAGAGATTGCAGGGGCCAGCCCAATGGCATAGTGGTTAAGTCTGCGTGCTCTGTTTTGGTGGCCTGGGGTTGGTAGGTTCAGATCCTGGGTGTGGACCTATGCACCGCTTATCAAACCATGCTGTGGCAGCATCCCATATACAAAATAGAGGAAGATGGGCACAGATGTCAGCTCAGGGTCAATCTTTCTCACAAAAAAACAAAAACAAACAAACAACAAAAAAAGATATTGTGCATATGTATTACGAGGTCTTATTTCTCAAACTAGCTCTTCCTGCCAAGGGCTTTGTGTACATGTGTTCCACTATCCATCTGAGGTGTTATACTAAAGATATGTAAAGATCTCTTGGGTTTGAATTAACAATCATAAAACCTGGGGAAAATTATTAGTCTTATTATTTTTTATTTGGCTATGCAACATGTGGAAGGGAAAAATAGGGAGAAAAGACCTACCCAAATTTTGCCACATGCTGAACAGTTCATAAGCCATCATCACACGCATGTCCCCATACCTGGAAATAGTAACACAGGAACCAGCTGTTAGTGGGAGAAGGTTCAGGAAGACAGGACTACAAACCCACTGAGGCTAGTACTTCAGCACAGTTTCTAATGCTTCCCCAAATACCAAGTCATTTGGTTCTCAAGTGAACTCTCATATGTGGCTCCTTGGGAAGCTACCCAGTGAGAACCTTGTAACTTCTAAAGGAGCCTCTCATGGAAACATAACCCCATCTGGGCATGTGGTAGAGAGACGAATAAGAGACATATGTCTTACTTATCTAGAATCTTCTTCCTCTTGGATGAAGTGATGATTTCTAGCTGGAGGCTTGGCTGATTTATGAACAGAACTGCCAGGCTAAAATAAGAATTCCATACCTAGAGAGACAGAGAAAGAGGAAACATCTGACAGCCCGAGTCCTTAATCTTGCAAGGAGAGATTCTAAATATATGCATGTAGCACAGAATTCATTTTACAATTTTAAGATCTTGATTTTTTTTCCTTTTTATATATCTTTGGAAATAGACTTTTTTTTTTTTCTTTCTTGACTCCTCTGAAGCCAATAGTGTTGATTCTGGACTAGAAAGCATACTCGTGAATGTCTGGCTCCCAACACCAGGGGAGCTCCTAGGTCATATTCCAGTCTCTATCAAGCTTAGAAGCTATTTGATACTATGAACACATTAATAAAGCAAAAACCAGTGAGCTTGCCCTGGCTCCCAGCCCCCAGCCCCCTAGCTGACACCCGGCTGAGTCCTTCTCAAATTCCTGATGTGCAAAGTTGTAAGCGAAATAAAATGGTTGTTTTAAGTAAAACAAAAACAAAAATAGCGACCTTGGTTTTTGGCTTTCTAGGGTTATTACAAAGATAGTGATGGATTTCCGGAGCTCCTACCTTAAAGTCGAAGTCTGTCTCTGTGAAATTCTTGTGCAGTGCAGAAGAAAGGTACTGGACAGTAGTGACTATAATACTGCAGTAAGGGAACAAGGCGTTGGCAGAGTTAAAAGACTAACAATGGCATCCAACAGCTTAGCATCAATTGTCTATGGCTTGTGTGAGAACTTCTTGAGTACAACTTGCTCTTATGTAAGATGTGACTATAAAGGAAAGAGAGATGGCACAAACCCTACAAAAAACCAGTACTGGAGAAATGCCCCATAGTTAGCAGAACAGAATAGAACATCAGTGGGTTCTAGACCATGCTCTGCCATGACCTGGCCTTGGTACAAATTCTCTCTAGGCTCCATTTCCCTTCCTATAAAAGGAGGAGGGTGGGGTTTGATATTTCTTTAAAGTTTCTTACAGTTCAAAGAGTGATTCTAGCATTTTGAGGACTTTTGGGTAATGAACACATATTATGAACACCAGAGGACTTAGAATATAATTTTACTATTTTACTTGGTAATAAGGGTTTATAGTTATTAAGTACCTACTTTGTCATATACTACTCTTTTCATTTATAAGGCATGTGATTTTAGCCTTTGGTCAAGAATATCACTCTCAATTTTAGCCTGGGCATATGTAAGGGGCAATGGGAGCCTCGCTTGCTGGAACCAAGGGCACAGGTTGAGGTAGAGAGGAAGTGAGGTGTGACAGGCAAGTAAGGGCTTGATTACAGAGGGCCTTGGCTGCCTGGCAAAGGAGGTTATGTCTAACAATGACCACCAGGCTTTGTTGCAGAAGAGGGGCAAGGCAAAAACGGTGTATTAGAGAGATCAGCCCATCAGCAGAGGGGGTAACAAATTTGAAAGGTAAGAGACTTGAAAGAAGAGGCTGCTCCTGCAGGATGGGCTGGGGAGCCTGAAGTACTCTGAGTAAAGCTACCAGACAGAAACAAGAGGAAGTCAAATGGAAAATCCTCTATTTGAGAAGCTATCTGTGAAACCTTGTTTATAACCATTCTTCTGTTCTGTATAAAAGGTTTGCAGTTTTGAAAAAAGAAAAAATATCCCTATAAAAGGTACAAAGAGGGGCTGGCTCTGTGGTCTAGTGGTTAAGTTTGGCATGCTCCACTTTGGTGGCTTGGGTTTGCAGGTTCGGATCCTAGGTGCGGACCTAACGCCACACGTCAGCCATGTTGTGGCAGCAACTCACATATAAAGTGGAGGAAGAATGGTACAGATGTTAGCTCAGGACTAATTTTCCTCAGTAAAAAAAAAAAAGGTATGAAGTGGAAAGACCATGCTGATACCCTGCTAATATAGCTAACACAAATAATACTACATTCTGCATAATACCAACATAAAAGGCAGATCCATGGGAGGAGGCAGCAGGTTAGAGAGTGGAGGCCAATGGCCTTCTCCTGACTGGAGGAAGACCAGTTGAGCCAACACTTTACCAGTTGCATCACTTGTCTGGTTTGCCAAGAAGCAGCACAGGTTAGAACTATGAATGAGACAGAAAATTTGGGGTCAGCCTTAGAGCGAATTCTGTGGCTGGAGTCACAAGTGGTCAGAGCCTCACAGCCAGGACTCAAGTTGGTAATTAGCACTAGCTGTGGGAAGCAAGCAGTGTCTGGCAGACAATGCAAATCAAATTAAGAGGAGAGTTTGGGATACCGCCTGAAACTAGAGAGCAACAGAGGCCAACGGACCAGTGAGCAGGCCTTCCTCAAGGAGGAACCCTTCTCTAGGTATTATATTTCACATCCTTAATATTTCCTTCTCTGTTCTTACCATGACACCATCTGCCAGGCACTTAGACTCCATTTTTGAACTATCTTTGAAGCTTTCTTCTTCTTGAACTTATGGTAAATGGTCAAGTCCTAGTGATTGTGCCTCCAAACAGTTTTCACGTTTACCCTCTCCGCTCTTCCCTCATTGCCTTGATCTCTGTCTTGCTTTCTCTTTCACAAATATGCACACTCTCCTTAGTCTGAGAACAGTTCAGTGGATGCTGGTGCAGGGCCCTTCTACACTCACTTGCTTGTGAGAAGTCTCATCACCATCCAGTCCCGAGGAAAGACACTCATCTTCATCAGGTTCCGGAACACACAGAAAATCTTCAGCAGGAATTCCTAATCCAAGAGGAAAAATCTGACATGAGACACCACTACTACCATTGCAGCACACATTTCCTCAACAGGGCTCCCCTGACCTCTAGGCCATGAGAATGGGTGGGAACACTGGGTTAGATTCTGGTTCCCTTTGTGAGTTGCTCTTCTCTTAGAGGACTGCATGAGAGTGAGTTCTAGGTACTCTCACAGGTCAGATGGGGCAGACCCAAACTGGGCAGAACAGAGGCAGCTCTGTAACCACTTAGTCTGGTGTCTAAAGCCTAAAATGTAAGGAAAGCCAGAGTCCAGCAGAACTGGTATCCAACTAAGTCCATGGGTCTCGTTCTTTGGGGCCTGGCCCCTGAGCGCTTGATCATAAGAACCTGCTTTCTTGGACCTTAAGGAAACATTGACAAGAGAAGCACTTTAGGAAAAGCATGGTGAGGACCTCCAAAAGTGTGCTCCTCCATGAAAGCAATGAGAACAGTGGCAAACACTGGTTAATCAAAGGCTTGCAACAATCCAAGGAGTGTTATTCAAGAAAAATAGCAGAATTTCAATAAGAACAGTGAGCGTTTTGCGTTTTAAGTTGCCTATTCCCATCCCTTCTCTTTCCCTACCTCCACAATAACCTTAAAAACAAGCAGCTGTGGAACTACAGTAGTAGTGAAAACCAGCATCCTGGCAGTCACTGGAAGGCACAAAATAGTTTTGGAGCCTGCGAAAAAGCACCATCCCCAGAGATTTGTCACTTTTTGATCGGTTTGGCGGTTCCCTGGGAAAGCATTATTCAGAGGGCTTATTTGACCTGACTCAGAGCTCACTCATTGAGAAAAGCCCTATCCCTAGGAATTTGGTGAAAAAAATCAGGCATAATACTTTAACATCCCAGCTGCATGAAGCAGCCATATCAGCTGGGGCAAACAAGAGAATGACCAAAACACTTAAAAGAAAAACATGGGGGATGAGGCATCCACAGGGGTCTTTGAAAAGCCCTGAAATATTCCTGGGGATATAGGAGCCAAACACATGTGCAGGGCTGTACACATTCCCAGGAAAGACCTAAAAAGACTAATCTCTCACATTTGGCTGACTTTGAGGCTCTATGCAAGCAGGAAGTGAAGGCTAAGGCAGAAATGTAAACTGATGGAACACTGAAGCTGAGCCCCAACACATACACAGAGCCACTTCACAAAATGTGGAAGACATTGATTCAAGGCATTTAAGGAAATCACTCTCCAGTTATTAACTGACTACTAAGCTAAGTGAATAAAGACTTCAGTGACTGCACACAACAAAGAATACAGACATTAAAGAATTAGTCCAAGAAAGTCACTAAACAAGCAAACAAACAAACACCAACAAAAACAAAACAACAAAAAGCAACAACAACAAACCCTGGGGTGAGGGAGGTAATCTGATTTCCAGAGTTGCAACATTATTTAAATTATCCAGTTTTCAACAACAACAAAAATAAGACATAAAATGAAACAGAAAAGTATGGACCCACACACAGGAAAATAAAGCTGATAGACTCTTTCTCTGAGGTAGCTCAAACACTGGACTTATTGGGAAAAGAATTTAAATCAGCTGTTTATAAATATGTTCAAAGGACTAAAGGAAACCATGCCTAAAGAAATAAAGGAAAGTATAAGAACAATATCTTGCCAAAGATAGAATATCAATAAAATAGAAATTATTTAAAAAGCATCAAATAAAAATTCTGGGGCTAGAAAGTACCACAACTAAAATGAAAAATTCACTGGAGGGGCTCTACAACAGATCTGAACTGGCAGAAGAAAGAATCAGGGAATTTAAAGATAGGTCAATTAAGATTATCCAGAGGAACAAAAAGAAAAAAAAATGAAGAAAACTGGACAGAGCATCAGAGACCTGTGGGACACCATCAAGTGTAGAAACATACAAATAATGGCAGTATTATAGAGATGAGAGACAAAGTGGAAGAGATATTGAAGAAATACTGGCCAAAACCTTCCCAGATTTGATGAAAATTTAATCTATATATACAAGAAGCTCAATGAACTCTAAGTAGAATAAAATCAAAGAGATCTACACACAGACACATCATGGTCAAACCGCCAAAGCCAAAACAAAGAATCTTGAAAGCAACAAGAGAAAAACAACTCAGTATGTACAAATGATTCTGAATAAGATTAATACCTGACTTATCAGCAGATATGATGGAAGCCAGAAGGCAGTGGGATGACATATTCAAAGTACTGAAAGAACGTCAACCAGCAATCCTAAATCTAGAAAAACTACCATTCAGTGAAAACTGGTACAGCCACTCTGGAAAGCAGTATGGAGTATCCTCAGAAAATTAAGAATAGATCTACCATATGATCCAGCTATTTCACTGCTGGGTATTTATCCAAACAACTTGAAAACACAAATACATAAAGATACATGTACCCTTATGTTCACTGCAGCATTATTCACAAGAGCCAAGACTTGGAAGCAACCTAGGTGCCCATCAAGGGATGAATGGATAAAGAAGATGTGGTATATATGCATAATGGAATACTACTCAGCCATAAGAAAGGATGAAATCCAGCCATTTGTGACAACGTGGATGGACCTTGAGGGTATTATTCTAAGTGAAATAAGTCAGAGGGAGAAAGTCAAATATCATATGATCTCACTCATAAGCAGGAGATAAAAACAATGACAAAGACATAGCAACAGAGATTGGATTGGTGGTTACCATAGGGGAAGGGGGGAGGGGGAAAGGCAAAAGAGGGGATTAGGTACACATGTGAGGTGATGGACTATAATTAGTTTTTGGGTGGTGAACATGATGCAATCTACACAGAATCTGAAATATACTATGATGTACATCTGAAAGCTATTTAATGTTATAATCCAATGTTACTGCAATAAAAAATAAAAATTAAAAAAACTATCATTCAAAAATGAAGAAATTAAGACACTCTCAGATAAAAAAAACTGAGAGAATTTGTTACTAGTGGACCTGTCCTACAAGAACTACTAAAGGGGGTCTCTCAGACTTAAATAAAATGGCACTAGAAGGTAACTTGAATTCACATGAAGAAATGAAGAGCACCATGAAAGGTGACTACATAGGTAAATATAAAAGACAGTAAATATATATAACTCTTTTCTTCTCCTATTTGATTTATAAGATAACTGCATAAAACAATAATTATAAAACTGTGTTGATGAGAATATAATGTATAAAGATGTAATTTGTATGACAGTAATGCACAAAGGAGGAGGAAGGAATGGAGTTATATTGGAGCAAAGTTTTTGAATACTACTAAAATTAAGTTGGTATGAATCCAAATTAGATTGTTTTAAGTTAAGATGTTCATTGCAATTCTCAGAGAAACCACTAAGAAAATAACTTAAAAAATATACTAAAAGTAATGATGAGAGAATTAAAATGGTACACTAAAAATATTTATATAATACAAAAGAAGGCAGAAATGGAGGCGTATAGGAACAAAGAAGACATAAGACAGATATAAAACAAATAGCAAAATGGCAGGTGTAAATCCTAACTTATGGGTAATTATAGTAAATGTAAAGTGGATTAAACACTTCAACCAAAAGGCAGAGATAAGAAGGGACAAAACGTAAACATAATCCAACTATATGCCGTCTACAAGATACACACTTTAGATTCAAAGACACAAATATATTTAAAGTAAAAGGATTGAAAAATATACACAATGAAAATAGCACCCAAAAGACAACTGGTGTGGCTATGTTAACATCAACAATACAGACTAACAAAAATTGTTATTAGAGATCAAAAAATGACATTCTATAATGATAAAAGGGTCAATAAATCTGGAAGACATAAACACATATGCACTTAAAACAGAGCCTCAAAATACATGAAGCAAAAACTGAGAAAATTGAAAGGAAAAAGAGACAATTCAACAATAACAGAGACTTTAATATACCAGTTTCAAAAATGTATTGAACAACTAAACAGAAGATCAACAAGAAAAAAGAAATCTTGAACAATACTACATACTACCTACACCTAACAGACATCCATAGACTACGCCATCCAACAACAGCAGAATACACACCTTCTTCTCAAATGCACCTAGAAGGATATGTGTTATTCTCGTCTCTAAGATAGACCATATATTAGGCCATAAAGTAAGTCTCAATCAACTTAAAGAATTGAAATAATATAAATCATGTTCTCCAACCACTATGGAAGGGAGTTAGAAATCAATAACAGAAGAAAATTTGGGAAAATAAAAAATATGTGGAATTAAACAGCACACTCCCAAATAAACCAATGGGTCAAAGAAGAAACCACAAGGGAAAATTAGGAAATACTTTGAGATGAACAAAAATGGAAACACATCAAATAAAACTTAAGGGATGAAGCTAAAGCTATAGCAGTTAAATGCCTACGTTAAAACGAAAGATTGCCAATCAATAACCTACCTTACACCTTAAGAATCTAGAAAAAGAAGAGCAAACTAAACCTAAAGCGAGCAGAAGGAAGGGGATAATAAAAATTAGGGCAGAAATAAACGAAATAGAGAATAGAAAAACAGAAAAAAAGTAAACCAAAAGTTGGTTCTTTGAAAAGATCAACGAAATTAACAAACTTTTAGCTAAACTGACCAAGAAAAAAAAAAGAGGGAGAGAGACAACTCAAACTACTAAAATTAGGGATAAAAGAAGGGACAGCATTACCAATGTTCCAGAACTAAAAAGGATTATAAGGGACTACTATGAACAAATGTATGCCAATAAATTATATAATCTGGATGAAATGGTCAAATTCTTAGAAACATACAAACTACTAAAATTCATTTAAGAAGAAAAGGAAAATCTGAATATACTTATCACAAATGAAGAGATCAAATTAATAATTGAAAAGCTCAGACAAAGAAACGTACAGGACTAGACGGCTTCATCAGTGAATTTTACCAAATGTTTAAACTAGATTTAATACCAGTATTTGTCTTTTTGATTATATCCACTTCAAATGCGAAATGGTATTTTAC